ACACACTTAAGCAAAATTTATCATCTTATATCTAGAAATTAAATAACTTGAATTTATTTTAAAAAATGACATGTGGACAGCACGTGCCCTAGAATTTTTGTATGATCGTAGTACTTCCACTTTTATAATGGTCAAAGGAAAAATGGGGTAGTTTGTCAAATGGTATGTGACCAAACCCTCCCATATCTTGACTAATAATAGACTTGGATCAAAATTTGTATATTAAGTTAAATCCATTTTGATTGTTATCTGTTGAAATTAAATTTAAAATATCTTTTTTTTCACTTTTTTTTTCATCAGCAGATTTTTTTTCCCACTAAAATTAAGGAGTGAAAACATGGAATGTTTTAACCAAATCCTTTTTCCATTTTTTGTTAGAAAACTTGGGCTTCTTAAAACGTTTTTGTGGTGTCTAGAGAATGGCCAGAGAAATAAGTCTATTTAGAGGTCTTTTATTGACTCGTATTTCTTAGACCTAAAAAACAAAGACTTTTATTTAGAGGTCTAAATTTGATTAGTCTGAATTTAATATAAGTAATGAGCTTATGTGAATTTGGTTAAAACAAGTCTTGAGTAAATTGAGCTTTTAAAATAGAATCTCAAACTTAATCCTATGTAGATAGCAACTTTATGATGACCGACTTGCATAATAGTAGTACTAATAGTATGTAATATAATAGGTAGTGAGCTTAAGTGATTAATCCACATCAAACCTAGTTTTTATACAAATTTTCTTGAATCAAGTAAAAGGAGTTTAAATTTAAATTTTGGATCTTGAATTTAATGATCAAATACTTACATTTTGACAAGTATATTCAAGTCAACCTATTTTACTTACAATAAAAAAAAATGTGAATTTTTTCTACACATCCTTGCAAAAGTAAAAAAAATAAAATAATAAATTAGTTGTTGTAAATAATAGTTTCATAAACTTTTTCTGAATAACAGTGTGTATATTCAGACTAAGATGAGAGTCAATCTATTTGCAGACTAATTCACATTTTATAAACTTTTTTTCAAAATAATAATGCTTGATTTTTTGTTTAAGGAAAGCTAAATTTTGTTGCCTTAGATTGGGCCAAGTGCATTGGGTTCACATTTTTCCCGAGCCCACTTAAAATGGAAGGCCCACTGAGAAGCTTATTTAAATACATCTTTGTATGAAGTCATATAATGATAACATGATTAAATCTTCTCCTACCACTAATAGTAAACAAATTAGTGGTTGTAACCAATGGTTTTGCACTGTAACTATCAAGTTAATTACTACTCAATCTTTTAATAACCTTTGAACAACCATTACTTTACAATTTCTGAGCTAACAATCATTAAATGACCATTACCTAACAATATTTTGAACTCTGAGTAGAGTCTATAGGGAATTTTTAAAAATGAATGTTTTGTGATAGTAAAAAATACATTTGAACTCTCATACATACAAGATTTCATTTTATGTGGTATGCTAAGTGAAATTGTGTCTTTTTATGAGAAGTGTGACACTTATTTTTTGAATGGTGTAATTTTATTTGGAGTCTATCTGGTAGATATAATTGTAATTGTCAAATTATGGGCCTTTTGTTTTATAGCTCTGATGCAGTCAGTTTACTGTTTCACAAGATTTGGGTTAAGCTGGACTAGAATAAGATTGACCCATGTTTTACTCTACGGTGAGAGATAAAAGAAAAAAAATTGTTAGTAACATATTTTTAAATATATATTATAATATTTAAAAAAACTAAATTCATAAAGAAAGTGATTTATTTTATTTTTTTAAATAAACATATCATATAAAGTGTGTTAAAGAATATATAAAAAAATGTATTATTTTTTAAATGAAAAAACTAGAAAAATAGAAGAAAAGAAAAGAAATCAAGAAAAAATAAATAAATAAGTTGACAATGAAAAAGAGTATATTAAAAAAAAGAATTTTTTTTTGTAAACTTAGTGATTTAATTAAAATGAATAATTAAAATTAATTAATATGACACATTATGTTAATTTATAATAAAACGAAAGGACTTACTTCATCACAGATTTACAATCTTCAAGTATTTTGTTATCTCACTTAATTACAAAAGTTAAATAATACTTAAGAAATGCTTTCTGTAAATAAATAAATAAATTTGAGACCAAAGAAAAGAAAAATCACATCTAATGCATGAGAACTCTTCCATATTTTTATTGCAAAAGAACAAACAATGAAGTTGCCATGCAAACACTTATTTGGTGATGAACATTCAACTTAGAAAATCATGACATTAATTTTTTTTTTTAATTATAATCTTATGATATTTCCATTTCCTTGTATCAAAAGTGGCTTACTATAGTCTTTAATGTTTTTTAACTAGAAAATATGTATTGCACATTTAAAGTGGGATATTTTTTAATTTTATTTTTTTTGTGTTAAGTATTTTTAAGATATATGTAAATTAAAAATATTAAAAAATAAATATAATTATATGTAATATTACATACAATATTAAATTTAAATAACATTTTTTTAATTTATTTAAAATATTACCGAGATATATCAGCTGTCACTCTATACTTGTCCATGTGTTATACTATTAATCCTTATAATAATCGAACATACATTATACTAATAAGTATCTTAATTGATATAAATATTAATTTATGTTATTAATGTAATAAATAATGACATAATATATTTACTGTTATATAAATCTTTAATATCTATATTAATAATTTTTTTAAAGACAAAATTTATATTCATAATTTTTTTTAATATTTAATAGATTATATTTGTTAATAAATAATAATATTTATATTTTTAATAAGAGTTTTGTTAAACTCAATCTGAAGATAAGCAGTTAATAATAGTAAAATTTTATTAAAAAGAGAAGTATTTATTATATTTATAATTTTAATACAATAATTATGTATTTTTTTTATAAAATTTCTCTATTTGTGATGCTTAAACTCAACTTTAAAGTTAACAAAACCTTTTAATAATTTAAATATTATTTTATTAATAATTTAATTTTCATTGGACAAGAGCTATAACAATAAAGATAATTTTAATGAGAAAAAAATTAGATATAATTTTAAAAGCACTTTTGATATTTTTATAAATCAAATATAAATTTCACTTTCATAAAAATAAATAGTAAGTTATCTAGAAAATTTTTAATTTTATTAAAAAATATAAATATATTTAAAAAGTGTAATTAAATTGTATTTATCTCAGTATTTGATAAGTAACGAGGGACACTCTTTGTTGTAATAAAGATAATTAGTGTTGCAAAAAGTGAGTTTTGAGTTTGGCAACATGCTTGGTTGACTGGGTTGGAAGGATATGCAATTTAGCAAACAAGAAGTCAAACACAAAAAAGAAGCAATTAATTTGAACAGAGAAAACAAATATATTCAAGTGCTATTGCTTTGCTTGTGATTTTCTTAGAAAAAGCTTTAAAAGAATATTCATAATTTTTTGGTATAAACCCAAAAATTGTGATGTCAATGTGGGAGCAATGATGGCCACATATATGTTCATGATATTATATATGGCCCTACCAAACCTAGTAATTATTATTTGGACTTTGATATGCCCAGTTGGTTTGAGATATTTTTAAATAATATGATAAAATTATAAGATATTTTAAAATATAAAAAACAGATTTAATATTTTTTAAAATTAAAAAAATGTAATTAAATATTATTAAAAAAAGTTATATCATAAATATCTCTTTAAAAAAAATCATCCAAACAAATTTTCTATTTTCTCAGAACACCTTCTTGGTGATTTTTAATGATAAATCTTTTTGTCTACTAATAAAAAAGATATTAAGAATATTAATTATATAATTTGAAAACACTTATTAATCTCTCAAAATGTTTGTCTTGAGCTAAATTTAAAATTTAACATAATGTGTATGATTCCTAGTACCGCAATTTGAGATTCCAAGTTGACAATGTGATGTACACTTTGATATTTGTAGGCTAAAACTAAAATTTAGTCAATTTCAGGAGCAAGCTTTCTTAAATGCAAGAGAGAAGAAAATTTAAAAATATTTTAAGTAAATGAAATTAATTATTTCATCAAATAATTGATTCATTTGTATAGGATCATGGTATAGGTAGCTGCTACTATATGTGGAAATTTTGTCATACATTCAAAATGCTTAATTCTAGAAACATCTTTCCAAAAATAAATTGATTCTTATTTAAGACAAATTCTTTAAAAGAATAAAATTCAAAAGGAAAGTAATATTACTATTTTTTTTTGTCATAATAATATTAAATTTATTTATTTATTTTGGTAGAGAGAGAAAATTATATCTTGGCTGAAAGATGGACCCAAATTGACTCATGTGGGCTAGTCTACCAACATGAGAACACCAATAAAATGTTAGCAAACAACAGAAGGACAACGAAGATGCTATCTAGTATAACCTTGGAAAAGAATATTCACCCAAGTTATAACAAGCAAGTAATTAAGCACTCTTGAACTTTTTTTTTCACACACTTTTTATTTTATTAAATTTATTAAAAATATATGAATTGTTGGTAATTGACTAATTGAAAATAAAAAAATATGTAAATTAAAAAATATAAAAAGTATTTATTATTAATTTTAGTTAGTTGTATTTACATAATACTTTAATTTGAATTGGTGATTGATAAAGTATTATCTTCTCGTTTTATACCATTTATCACTTTAAAAAAAAGTCAACTCTAACTGTAAAAATTCATTAATGCACACTTTTCAATAAAATTAAATGGATAGAGATTTTTTTTCCATTGGCAAAACTCTGTTTTTAATATGTACAGACAGACCCTTATTAACACGTTTACTTATAACTAGTTTTGCTGATTGTAATACATTTAATATAAAAATTATAATTAAAATTTATTTAAATGTGCATTAAAAGTATAGTTAATAGTTTAACTTAAAAACAAATGAATTTTAATAAATCACTTAAGAAAGTCAAAACAGACAAAACTGCATCTTTAATCAGTCAAATGAGCCATTTCCCCGTTGAAGCATAAAGGCTACCTAAGCTAAGATGCATAAGTCAAAAGCAGAGGAAAACTAAAGCAAAAATCTAAAAACAAACAACTGATTAAAATTCCTCAGCTTCTGACAGACAACATCTGCAGATTAAGTTTGTGACAGGTAAGCATCTCACTTTTTTTACCGTTTTCTTGTTCCTTGCACAACCATGTGATCATTGCACAAAAAATGTATCATAGATCTACCCTTTATTCCTTCTTCAGGATGGTTTCAAGAGCAGCAATACTATTACTCATGGGTCTTCTGGGAATGTTTTACCAGGCCACTCAACTTCCTCCACCAAATCGTACTAATGATTCAACACATGATGTTCCAGTTTCACCAAGAATCAAACTCAGTGATGGAAGGTACCTTGCTTATAGAGAAAGGGGTGTTCCCAAGGACAAAGCAAAACACAGTATCATCATTGTGCACGGCTTTGGAAGCTCCAAAGATATGAACTTTTTGGCATCCCAAGTGTGTAAAAACTTCTATCTCTCTTTATTGAACTTCCTTGTGTTGATCCGAAACTAGTGCATATATTGTGCTGGATTAGTGGATTTCAGATCTAATTGGCCCAAGAAGTTAATATAAGGGAAATTTTGTAAGGGAATCGTGTGGTAAAAATAAATTATTTTTTGGTGCTGATTAGGTTCTTAGATACAAAGTAGAGGTGTTTGTTAATCTTTTTGTTGAGCCTGAATTTTTTTATTTGCTGTGAATTGTTATGGATTTTAAGTTTTGAAGCATTTTTTTAATGCATGGCACTTGTATACCTATTCAATTTCAAACATTCCTAGTAAGATAAAATTGACACACTGAATCAACAGGAACTCATAGATGAACTGGGTGTATATATTCTGCAATATGATCGGGCTGGGTATGGAGAGAGTGATCCAAACCCCAAACGCTCACTGAAAAGTGAAGCACTTGACATTGAAGAGCTTGCTGATCAGTTACAGATAGGGACAAAATTTTTTGTGATTGGAGTCTCAATGGGATCACACGCTACCTGGAGCTGTCTGCACTACATCCCAAACAGGTAAATTGCAAGCCTCAAAATATGGTTTTTTTTTTCCCTTCTAAAAGCCTGTATCTTATAGTTGATAAGCTAACTAAAAACTTATAATTATAACTAGTTGATTGAATTAGACTTGTTTGGTGAAACTAACTGTATAGCTAATTGAAATGCGTTAAATGGCTTAAAAAAAGTATTAAAATTATTTTTTTTATGAGTGTAAGTTGTTTAAAAAACTGATGATAAAAATAAAATAAAATAATTATTGAAAGCTAGCTTGCTATCAGCTAGCAGATACTTGAAATAACTTTTCATAAATTAATTTTCAAAAGCTATAAACTTCTTTTATTTTTTGTTTATCAAACAGTTCTACTGTTTTATTGAACAAAAAATAAGCTATAAACTTGTTTTAATAAACACAACCTTAAAGACTTGTTTGGTTTCAGAAAATCTTCTATTTTAAAAAATAAAGTGATATTTTTGTAATTATTTCTAAAAATAAAAAACAAAAACAGAAAATAAATTCTGACTGAAAATTTCCCCTTTTTGTGTTGAAAATGTCTTAATATTACCACAAGGTCAACATTTGTGCAGGCTAGCAGGTGTGGCTATGATAGCCCCAGTGATAAACTATAAGTGGCCTTCCCTTCCTGAGAGCCTAATAAAGGAGGACTATAGGAGGAAACTTATCCAATGGGCTATGTGGCTTGCAAACTATTCTCCTAGACTATTGCACTGGTGGGTGACACAAAAGTGGCTCCCTTCAAATTCTGTCATAGAAAAAAACCCAGCATTCTTCAACAAAAGAGATATAGATATTTTAAAGACAATCCCTGGGTTTCCAATGCTTACCAAGGTAAATTAAATTACGTGTTTCTTATACTAGTTTTATCATGTGAATATAAATCTCAAATATGAAATACCTTTATTCTATAAAAGTGATTGTGATGATGGTGTATATATGTTCCTTCTTACAGGACAAATTAAGGGAACAAGTTGTTTTTGACACTCTAAGGGGTGACTGGATGGTGGCCTTTGGCAATTGGGAATTTGATCCAATGAAGCTATGTAATCCATTCCCTCAGAATAGAAGTTCAGCTCACATTTGGCAAGGCTATGAAGATAAGGTAGTGCCCTCTCAAATCCAAAGATTTGTTTCAGGGAAGCTTCCTTGGGTACATTACCATGAAGTTCCAGATGGTGGGCATTTGATTGTGCACTATAGTGGCCTATGTGAGGCCATTTTGAGGGCACTTTTACTTGGAGAAGAAAATATGTCATATAGACCTAGACCAGCAGTGTTTGTATCTTGATTTGGCATGTTTTCTTAATACAATATGTTTATTGTTGCTTTATTTTTTAGGAGAATGGCAAATTTGTAAATCAATTCGTTGGTTTTAGGAGGAAAATGTCATATATGTAAATTACTTTTTTCAACATTATCTTCATTATTAGGTGAAATCTAATGCTGACCTACATTAAGAGTTTATCATTTTATTTAGTTGAATCAACATGATATTTCACTCAATAATAAAAGAGTGTTGCTAGGATACATTTGTTTGTTAAAAGCATAATACACAGCAATATGTCACTTATTATGGGCACATCATACATCGACTTTTACTTGAACAATTAAGTATACAGGATTTCTACTAATTACACTATGGAACCTGATAATTGAATCTAAAGGGAGAAAAATGAGACTACCCAACACAGATTATTGTGACTGTATGATTGTTTTCCTCCACACATGCTTGGTTGGGATCATGTTTCTTGACTTGCTTCTCACCAATTCACATTTTATAGAATGGTTATTTGTTAATGTAGTCCACTGCAATTGTGGCACAAAGCTGGAGCCACAGTTGTTCATTTGTTTTAAACTTGAAATGTAAATTTCCACCTTATTTCGGTAAAAACCAAAGCAGGAGACTCTCGTTGAAGTTTATAAATGTGTTGCGGGAATAGGGAATGATCAAGCGAAAGGAAGAAATTTGAACCATAATTAAGCACTTGGAATGATTCAAGTATGCTTTTTCTGCAGTTCGTAAGTTCCCTGTTTATTTTAGATTTTAGTAAAAGTGCATTTTCACATTTTTATTAGTATCATCGTCGCAGAAACAGTAACCTTGTCCGGTAATAGTGACATCATTGTTACCTAGGACAACAAAACAAGTTTACAGATGCGGGCCAGTTTGAGTTTCAGACATTGTCAGGCCAGCTAACAAGGCCCATTTTGTTGAGCTCCGCAAGCATAATGTGAATGTAAATAACAATTCCAAAGGTGGACCAAAAAATTTAAAAATAAAAATAGTAAAGGATATAAATAGTGATAATTTCATTGAAAAAATAATGAGTTAAATAGTAAAGCATATTAGAAAGTGATTTTTTTTTTCTATTTACTATAGACTAAACACTAATATTACATACATATTTGGTCGTAGAAGCTTACGTTTTTCACTTATTACAAATTATGAGAGATTTAAATATTTTTAATTTTGGCGCAAATTGTAGCTTGTAGTATAAGAAAAAAAAAAGAGATTAAGAGTGAGAAAAAAAAGATTACATATTTTTATTTAAATAAAAAAATAATTTTTTAATTTACTCCTATTTATCTTGATATCTTTTTATTATTTGTGTAGTTTTAGTTCAAAATTAGAAGTATTTTCTTGCTTAAAAAAAAAACAAAATTCTTGTCTTATAATTTTTAATACAATTTTTAATAAACATTTAATATTTATTAATTCTTTAACTAATATACTCAAGTTGCTTGTTAACAAGATTTTTTAATTAATCCAATTTAACTTAATCCATAAGTACATTATCCTAAAGTTTAAGAGCTCGCAAAATTAACATTTTGGCACCCCAAATTATTGCACTAAAAGCAAGTCAGTGTTGAATATGTAGTTGGCACTTGCCAACAAAATTTACGTACAACTTCTATCTTCAAAAACTTGACGAGAATTATAATTTATAACACTCCATCGCACTTATTTAAGACCAACTAATTGACCTTCACGTAAACAATGTCTACCAACTAATTAAATTTATTAATGCACATTAGTGCTTATGTATCTTCAAAATTAAAATCGCTTGTAAACAATTTAAGAAACATTAATTTTATAAATGTTAAAACTATATCACGCACAAATAAAATAAAATCAGGACTAAACTAACAGTATTTTTCACCGTTAGTCATAAGATGTGTTTAATAAATTAACTGTTAAACTATTTGATAAATATAGAATAATATATAAAATTTCATTAACTTTTAGTTTAAAATTTAGTAATTATATAATTTTAAATCATTATAGTTTTTAACTTTTATTCTAATTTAAATATTTTTATATCATAAAAATAAGACTTAATACTTTTTTATATTTTAATAAAATTTAATGATGAAATTATTTTTAGTAAGTTAACGTGAAAGAGGTAAAAATATTATTAAAAATAAAGAAATGAAAAATTACTTTTAACTAATTGTTAAAAATTAATGTTTTAAAAAAAATAATTGGAACAAAATTTAATTTTTTCTAGATAAAATATTTTTATTAAATAAAATTTTAATTTAAAAACAAACTTTTAACTGAAATGTTTTAATAGAGTGGTCATGTCATAATATACGAATAGCGTAGAGGCGGCGTATAAATACATGTATGTATATACAGGCTCCCGCGTTATTTTGGTTCTTACTTCTTATCTGTATGATAATTAATAATAATATATGTTTACTATTTTGGGACTTCGAACCCTTAACTCTGCGACTTTGATCTGTCCTTGACTTAATCTTCAATTCCAATTCGGCAATTTCAGGTACCCTTCGTCTCTTGCTTAATCCTTTTCATCAATTCATCGTTCGATTCTCTCTATTCGTCTCAAATCCCCAATTACCCCTCACCTTACCTAGGGTTTTTCGTACCAATTCAATTTTCATTCTCTTTCTCCTATCCCCGATTCCGATCCCTCGAATCTGCATTGCGGTTGCCTGTACCACCTTCTGGTTTTCTTTGATCGTTGTTTTTTCGGTTTTAGTGGAAAATTTCAGCCCAATTTCGTTTTCGGTTTTTTTAGAATAGAGGAAATTTCGATTTCGTTTCTACTTGTCTTTTCTGAGATATACGATGGTTTGCATTTAGTTTTATTTGTTGGGTCGAATTTGGTATTTGATATTTCGTGGAATTAGTAATGTACATTGCGGAGTGTCACTGTCAACCTTGGGAGCAGGTTAGACAATATAAGATTCTAAGTTTGAGCAAGTTTTGTGTTGATTCTAGAAGCTGAGAAGCACGGGCTTGCTCAACATAACTAGAAACTACTACTAGTGCATTTATCTATTGAGCATCGTTCAGTACAGTAGTTTGCTTAAGTAGTTAGTTTCAACTTTCCCCTGTATGATTTATGATGATGATCCTGTGGTTTACTGACTATAAAGAGCTTCAGATGGACTAGTTATAGTTTTCTTTGTAGTATTATGTGCTTTATCGAGCTTTTACTGCTGTCGTTAATCTAATACTTCTGTTCTACTTTATTAAGTTGCGAGGAGGAATTCAGAGATTCAATTTGGTCTTGGGGTACAAAAGAAAGCGCATTTCTTTTGACCTGAGTTCTAAGGCTTGGGAAGGTCAACGGCTTAATGTTGAGTTCTGGGAATAACATAAACAGCAGCAACAGCAGTGGGACAACTTCTTCGGATATGCCACCTTTGCCCCAGTGTTTGCCACTAGATTCGATTACAGTAGGCAATCAAAAGTATACAGGAGAGCTAAGGAGGGTTCTAGGTGTTTCTGCAGGAAACACATCTGAAGATCATTCTTTTGGAGTTCCACATCCTAAACCCATGGCTCCAGGAGCCTCCGGGGAACTAAAGCACATTAAAGAAAGTGTACAAGATGGCTCCAGAAAGGCAAGGTATATAGTATGAAATGAATGGTCAACTGAAAAATCCTATCTGTAAAGCTGAATTATAAACAAAATTTAGTATTGCTTGGTCATATGTCAAATGAATGGTCTCATTCTATTACTGTTGGTATAATATTTTGTGTGAGGGATAATTGGTGAGTGGTGACAATATCAGCAGGGCACAGGCAAAATTATGGGACAGCTGTGTGAAATTAAACTAGTTTCAATGATGTTTGAATCTTTTAATAAGAAGTTGTAATAATGAACTATAGTTTCTTGTTACCACTGCCCCTCTTTTCTTTCAGTCCTGTTCTGTTATAAATTTTTTTACTGTTTGCGGGGATGCTTGGACTTTTTTTATTCTATACAACTACAACCTTAAGATCTGTAATATACTTCTCAGTTGTGATTATGTTTTGTCCACTGTAGAAGTGTTAAATTTCAAATGTAAATTGTTCACCTATTGTATTATGACACAGTATATTCATATTGATGTCCTAATAGAAGTGTAAATGTTGATCAGGGATAGATCAAAAATGTTTCGGGAATCTATATCTAAATTGGATAGGTTCAGGGAGGTATTGAACACAAAGAAGCGACAAAGGAATGATTTATCAGGTGAGAGGGGAGGTGGAGTAAACCTAACAAAGATGGGTAGCCAGATGCACAAAACCCCTAATGATAATCTATCTCAGAGATCAGAAGCCAAGGCCTCAAATTCAATGCTGAACAAGCGAATTCGCACATCAGTGGCAGATGGGCGGGTGCGTATGTGTTGCAATATTGTTACTTCTGTGCTTTTATTCTTTATCTGTAAAATGCAAGATGCTATTATGAAAATGGTTTTTCTAATGTGTGCTCAATGACATATGTTAAGAAATCAACAAATAGTAAATTTTTATTGAAAATTGTAGTATTTAATGTTATTAATGTATTGAATTTTGTAATATTATGTGATTTTCAATAAAAATTTACTATATGTACATAGGTTCTTATTTTGTGTCCTCAGATAGATGTTAGACAATCTGTTATTAAAATACTTTATTGCAAATTTGTCATATATATATATATATATATATTGTTGAATCCGCTCTAACATTATGGAATTCTAATATTTGTGAGGGCCTAACAGGAATGCATTGCACTGATTCACTCATGAATTTTCAATTTCCTTTTTAATCCCAAAAGAAAGGTTTCAAGTTTCTTTAAGTATAGTTTAAACATTTTAGGATGGAACTATTTGAGTCATCTGTCATCTCAATTTCCAAGCAAGGCATTAATAAATGACAATAATAATGTCATATTTTAAAATTGGATATAACTTTTATGCTCTATTTTCCTCTACAACCTCAAAACATAAGGTTTTAGATTTTTTAATTTCCGATAATAATCTGTTTATGTCCACTCTCATTCTTTTTTTTCATGACTTTGCTCACTCTGCAATGCTCTCAGGAGGAAAGTAGGTCTGCTGCTATCGGTAGGCCACAGATGGTCACTGAGAAGGATGGAAATTTGATTCAGACACTTGGTGGAACCTCTGTTCGAAATGAAGAGAAAACTCGCAGATTACTTGCTGGAGGTGAAGGGTTAGATCAAAAAATAAAGAAGAAGAGGTCTGTTGGAACTGTAGGAAACAGAGTTATAACTGGTGAAAGGGATGTAAAACGAGCTACTCTTCCAAAGGCAAATGCTGATTTGAAGATGCGATTTTATGATTCTCAGGGTTTCAGGTAGTTATTTAATTTTTATTGTGCTCTTTCTTTTATATTGCAAGATATATTTTCAAATGTAATATTGGGGATTGCTGCTTTAGTTAGCATTAGATAGCTGCATTATATTATTTGATCTTTTTCCCCTGCTCATCTGCTCCTTCAGTAATTCTCCTCTTTCGACATTTATGTTGTTTACTTGAGTAACTCTTCAAATCTTAGGTAGGTAGTCTCATCATTGTCGAATGGTTTGATGCGATTTTATATTGTTGGAGAACATGAAAGTAAAATTATTTTTTATATCAATAAGCTTTTTGTGGTGCAGATTGAAGTCACTTCCTGGATCTAGTGGAATCAACAAGTCTGAGGGTTCTTCAGAGCCTGCTAATACAGGTGTGCGTACCATGCTTGCAAGTGAGCAAGGGGTTTCACTTCACCGGGACCACATAGCTGAGCAGCGAGTTGTAGTGAAAGGAAACAATAGGTTTGAACATTTATTCCCATGGTCTATCAGATTCTGGACTGAGATTTAGCACAAAAAAGTTTTAGACTGATCCTTCTTTATGTTTACATGTATTGATAGCTATTTACAAATTTATTAATTTTTGTGTTTCTATCACTAGGGCAAACATTCAAGAGGACCCAGCAAGTAGCCCTAGCACTCTAATAAAAAACAAGGTATCTCGGGCACCAAGAACGGGTTCCGTTAGTGCACTAGAATCATCTAACGTTCAACCTTCGTGTGGAACTTTTTCAGGTTGGTGAATGCCTTCTAATTCTAATGTCAAGTCTCAGTGGTTGGTATGGCAAATAATTAAGAGCTTTCTACATTTGTAGGTTCTTCTATACATCCAATGACCCAATGGGTTGGTCAGCGGCCACCTAAAAATTCACGCTCACGAAGAGTGAAAGTAGTTTCTCCAGCCGCACGCAATCTTGAAGTTCAGGTCTCATCTGAAGGCTGTCTAACTTCTGATTTCAGTGTTAAAGCTTCTTCTGCTGGCAACAATGGATTTCAACTGGCAAGCAGTGTAGACAATGGTACTCCAAAGTATAAAAGACCTCCTGATGATGTTTCATCTCCCTTTGGATTATCTGAAAGTGAAGAATCTGGAGCTGGGGAAAACAAAATAAAAGAGAAAGGAGTGAATGGCAGTGACTTTGCTTTGACTGCAGATAAGGCTGGAGCTTCTATAATGAGGAAGAATAAACTATCAACTGATGAATCTGGAGAGTATGTGCAGAGACAAGGAAGAACTGGAAGGAATTTATCCTTAATGAGGTCAGGCCTTCCTTCAGGGAGGGATAAGTCAGAGAATCTACCAATGATGAAGCCAGTACAGGAGATGAGGCCTAATGACAAGAGTAAAGCGTATGTTGATTTTCTTTTATCTAGTCCATCCTTTCTCCTTCCATTTGCCAAAACTGTCATGATGCCCTTTTTGTTTAATGCAGCAAATATGGGCGCCCTCCTTCAAAAAAGCAGAAAGAGCGCAAAGTTTTGACTCGCGTAGGGAAGCAACTGAACATTGGTTCTTCTGATTTTGGAGGTAGTGTTGATTTTTTGAAGCTAAAATTTATTTATTTGGGAGTTTAGTTTTATGGCAGGGGCAGCTAAATTCCTTCACTTTGCTACATATGCTAGTGATATTAGTGTGTTAGGTTTTCCTCAACTGGAATATTTTCACTAATTTATGCAATAGCACTTTGAATTGTTCAGGCATGTAGAGGCTAGCTTGTCAAATAATTTTCAAAATCTATATAACTTGTTCTATCATTGAATTTATTCTTTATTTCTGCTGTATTTTTTGCTTCAGGTTAGTATATAGTCTGTCATTTTTATCTATATTTGTTTTTTGTTGTGTTTTCACACTCACACTATAATGTGACTGTAGGTGAATCTGATGATGATCGTGAAGAGTTATATAAAGCTGCAAATGCTGCTCGTAATGCCAGCAGTATGCTTCTTGAACCATTTTACCTCCTCCAAAATGTTACACCTTTGTGTATTCATTTTTATATCTCACAAATTTGCTGGCTTATTTTATGTAGAAATTGCTTGTTCGGGTTCATTCTGGAATAAAATGGAGCCTATTTTTGCTTCTATTAGCTTGGAAGATGCATCTTACTTGAAGCAACAGGTAGCAGCTGGGTCTTGAGCATGTCTTATTTTTCTGAAAATGTGTAGTTACCATTTCATTCTCAATATGTTGAATAGCTTCTGACATAGTATTGTTTTTTCTGGTTTCTGAATCAGCTCAATATTGCTGAGGAATTTGATAAAAGTTTATCTCATATGTTTGGCATTGATCGTGATATGTTGGTAAGTGTTTGGCATTATACAGAAAGTGTCCTGTATCTTTCAACTCACTTATCAATAATGAAGAACTTCTGTGTGGATCTCCATCTGTTAAATTTAAGGATCTTCATAATTACACCACATTTTCATATGGAAAAAATATAAAAAAGAAATGGAGCAACTTAAAGATAAGCTGAACCTTTAGAGGAATGTGGTAACTAATGAATTTTTATTTTCTCAGGGTGTTGTTATAAATAACAAAACCACTCAAAGCTCAGATGAAAGAAAGAGAAGTCACTGTGATGAAGAATCTAATAAGATTGATGCTTTAGGTGGAAAGAATGACATGGAAAGACTGGACAAGGTTACTCCACTATTCCAAAGACTTCTTTGTGCTCTAATAGAAGAAGATGAAGGTGAAGAATCATATCACCTGAGTGAAGCAAAGAATATATCTCGACAATGCACTAGTGATGATTCTCATTGCGGTTCATGTAATCAAATCGATTTTGAACCCAAAGATCGGGATAGAATGGATTCTGAAGTTGAATCTAAGGTGGATCTTCAAATTCAGAAGAATTGCACATTGGACAGACTATCTTGTGATAAGAGTACTACATCCAACACATTTAGGTACCCAAACACATCCAGTTCTTTGCAAAGCACTGGAGTTTGGCAGGGAGATGAAGAATTTTGTCTTTCAGATATCACACACACTAGTGAAATATGTTCAAATGATCTTGATCAACTGCAGCATACTGAATTAAGCGTTCCTAGCTTTCCTTCTCCTGATGGCCAGTATCAGCTAATGTCCCTGGATGACAGGCTGCTGCTTGAGTTGCAAAGCATTGGCTTATATCCTGAAATATTGGTAGGCTTTTATTTCATAGTGTGGAATTACAAATGTCATAGTTTCTTGAAGCTTACGAGATTCATGATTATACTCCTTAAACTTGCTTCCTTGGTGCAGCCCGATTTAGCTGAGGAAGATGAAGCTATAAATCAAGACATTGAGAAACTTGAGAAAGCACTGTGTGAACAGGTATATAAGAATTTTCCATCATAGTTTTAACTTTTAAGCACATTTATCTTATTGACCTAAAATTTGGTCCATTCTTATATCACTGTCTCTTGTAATAGAATGGGATGAAGAAGAAGAACTTGGACAAGATTGATGGAGCTATTCAAGAAGGGAGGGATGTGGAAAGGCGGTAATGTTTTAATTACGCTTTGCATGATTTGCTTATGACTCCTCTCTGTAGTCTTCTATTCAATTTATGCTATACATCATGTCCTAGTTTACTTGTTTTCTTGATGGCATTCGTGAGTCATTTGTTTTTTCTTGAGTTTGTGATTAAGATATTATTGATTCTTATTAAGATTAATGTACTTATTGTGCAGGAAGATTGAGCAAGCTGCATTTGACCAACTTATTGAAATGGCTTACAGAAAGAGATTGGTAAGAAACTTTTATTTACCAACATTTATTGTGATTTATTAAGATGTACAAAGTTCCATACATTTTTCTAGTTATAAAATCTTGTTTTTTAATACTTGATTGCACTTGTTTGGACCTTGTACATAGTCTCATGCAGAGCAACATATTTGGTTGCACTGCAGATACTGTTGACTGGCACATTCTAGCCATAGGGTACTAAGGTTGGCTTTGTAAAGTCTATGTGCTTAAACACCAAATTGGTCTTTGTTGGGCTGAATTTCAGTGTAGGGACTGAATTCCTATTGGCTTAGTTGTGTACACTTTTGTTTCTTAGCAACCCATTATTAAGTCAAAAGGAGAAGGATGAAGCATTGAACTGCTATTACCAGATGCATCTTATTTAGAACTTAGGGTAGATTTCTAAAGATTGTAATTATGATGGTGTGTTGGCCGTCAGTGCTTCTTTTTTATTGTGCAATATATTATTAAGTAGTATAATGTGTCAGTTTATTATTGATCAATGGGTTCAATGCTGTGTACTTCGGAATTAACTTGATCACCACTCACCACTATGATAGCTGAAAAAGGCATTAAAGATTATATTGGTTAATCTTAGCCCTGTCCTTTTTCTAGTATTGAACTTTGTGTTTGATTGCATGTTACTTGACCATGCGATTCTCTCGCTTGTTCTGTTGGGAGCTTGGGTTTCTGCCTCTTCAGATAGCATGCCTTCTTTAATTTGTTATGTTGGTTAATTTTTGTGAGTCATACACATGAGTAGTCCACAGGTTTGGGAATAACTTCTGTTGTAATTTGAGTTGTTTTCTTTCCCCTATTTTCAAGTTTAATTTGGAATACATCACATTCCAGCCAGTCCTCCTTTCCGGTTTCATTGCTTCCTTGTTTCCCTATAATTCTTACTAGTTTCTATGATATCGGTTGGACATGATCATTTTCACTGTCTTTTGTGTGACAACTGGCAAGTGCTCACAGATAGATAATTTCTCTTAATTTAGTGTTGCCTTTTCTGGATAATCAATTTAGGTGAATTGTGGGTAATGAAGTTTACAATTCTAAAGTCACGGGCGAAATTTATAGCTTGAGTCATGTCATTAGTTATATCAATGTAATTTTTTTGCAGGCATGCCGTGGAAGCAAAAATTCAAAAGGTGCAGTTCACAAGGTGTCTAAACAAGTTGCTCTTGCCTTTGTCAAACGTACTCTTGGAAGATGTAAAAGATATGAAGAAGCTGGCATTAGCTGCTTTAGTGAACCTACCCTACAAAACATCTTGTTTGCCTCCCCTTCGTGTGAGAATGATGCACAACCTGCAGATTGCATGGTCTCTGGGACAGCCAGTAATACATGTAACAAAGCTTCCCATCAAATTGAAGCCAGAAAATCAGGTATCTCAAAATTATGCCTTTGCTTGCTTTTGTATCAATGTCAGTGAATGTATTGTTACACTTTTAATATATTAGGTCTTAGAAACCTTTAATAAGTTGTTTCCGGGTCTCTTCCTTCATTGACTGTGTTTTTTGCTAACATGCAAGATATGTTTGTGTTGGTTCACTTGATTTTTTAACCCCCTTAATAATTGTTGTGTCTACTGCTACAGGTACAGTTTCTAGTGCTTCTGAAAAATATGATTGCCACAGAGACTATGCAGACAGGGGACTGGTTGATTCTTTTCAAGGTTCAATTCAGTCATCAGAACAAGCATCATCCAAGAATGGGTCTGTGTTTATCAAGGAGAAGAAGAGGGAAATGCTGGTCAATGGTGGTATTGGTGGTTCTTCCTCAAGAGCATCAAACCTTGATGGTTCTGTTCATGGTGGAGTGAAAGGAAAGAGAAGTGAGAGAGATAGGAATCAGAGTCGCGATCAGACCAGACAAAATCCTATTTCCAGAGCTGGACGCCTGTCTTTGGACAGTAGTCAAAATGAGAACAAACCAAAATCTAAGCCCAAGCAAAAGATTACTGCTAGTGGTCATGATAGGTTTATGGATGCAAAGGAATCTGCGTGTTTACCAAATCATGGTTCTAGTCTATCTGTAGTTGATGCAACCAATAGCGGTAGCAAAGATGGAGCTACATTATCTGGTAACCAGGACACTTCTCAAGTAAAGGAATCTACTGACTTTGGCAATTTGCAGTTACATGATTTAAGTTCAATAGAAGAATTTGGTGTATCTGGTGAACTTGGTGGGGCACATGATCTTAGTTCTTGGTTGAACTTTGATGAAGATGGTTTGCAAGACCATGATTCTATTGGCCTTGAAATACCGATGGATGACCTATCAGAGTTAAATATGCTTATGTGAAAGTCTGTAACTTGCAGTCTCTACCACTTACACGTATTATATCTGGAGAATTTGTATGTATTCAGTGAACTACGTGGGCATCAAGATCTAAGATGTTACTTGGGTTTTCTCGGGAGGGAGAAATTTTTGGAGATTGGGAGTAAGAATTTTGACACATTTATAGGGTAAATGGAGAGGTGGAGACTTGTACTCCCAATTTGATCTTTTTGTAGAAAGTTGTATAGCATGGATTTCATGAAAATGCATTTAGATCCCGTTCTTCTCTCATGATACGAGATGTCCTTACTGATTGTACTACGAATTGTGGACCAGATGTTCAGCATCTTGAATCTAACTGATTTTGCACTGTGAAGTCATGGTCTCGTAAATGACTTTCTATGGGAGATTAATCACCTTCATAATCTCAAGATTGAAGTTATGTCATCCATTTAATCAATGGAGCCCGAGGATGGTTTCTTTCCGCAAGCTGTGTTTCTGCTACCATGCAATGTAAAATGTTTTATTGTCCATGTCCAGCGAAACGCACAATGTTGTTGATTGTTTTCTCCTGAATAATGGAGAACGAAATTTTAATGAAGTTTTTCTAACATTGAACTATCATGTATGATTCAATTTAATTCTAAAAAAACATTTTTTTTAACTCATGGAAAGTTGAAGGAAACAAGTGATGTTGATATTTATATAAAAAAAAAATGTTGGAATTAAACATATTAGTTGTAATCCCATCATATACAACGTGTTCTTGCGGTGGTATCAACAGCATAAGTGGATAACAATTTGTCAGTGTCTCTACTTTTGGGCACCATATTATGTATTGCTTGTCTTCACATTTGCCGTGAGCATTTAATCAAAGAAAGGTTATTTTATAAGGAAATTTTATCATGTTTTAAAAATTAAGAGCGCTTTCTATATTCAGAATAGAGATAGAAATATGTTATGTTAGACTTTTTATAATAGATATGTTAATAATTTTAAAGTTTAAGTTTATCTTATTATTTGTCATAAATTTTTTATTAAATTTAGTTTGATCTTTTTAAAATTTTGATTTGGTCTATTAATCTTTTTAATTATCTAATTCGTATCAAAATATTCAATAAATTATTAAGTTTTCTTATAAATAGATTATTAAATCATCTAAATAAGTATGTTTTTTAAAAATTATAAGGCTTATATTTAAATAAATTATTAAAAAAATATATAATACAAACAAGTGTATAATATTGTAAGAAGATATAAATGAGTTGAAACAATTAGTAATAGATTTAATCAAGATAACGCAATAAAAATCAGTGTTATGTGTATAAAATATATAAAAGAACTTCCGCAAACAGATTTCTCTCTTAAAGAGTATGTAGTAGAGACATACTTCAACTCTAACTAAAAGAATTAAAATTTTATTATTTTAAAATTTAATTAATTTAATATATTATTATATTATAATTTTTATATAAAATTATTTAATATATTATTATAAATTTTAAATAGGTCATTCTAATAGGCCTAATAAATTTTTGTCTTAAGTTTAAACTTAACATATTTAATTAATTAAGCTTTTTAAAATGTTTAAATTAAACTTATTAATTAAATAGGCAAGACCGGGTTAGACTTTAAATAGATTAAGCTATAAACTCCTATCGAATGGTTTAACCTATTTTTATTTCTAGTTCGAAATAATTATTATAATTAATATTATATTAAACTGGAAAAGTTAGTAATTTATTATAAAAAATAATTATTTTTTTTTATTTTTAAGATATTAAAGGAATGATAACTCTCTGCATCATTTTATAATTCTAAATATGATGTTGTAGTCATGCTGATTTTATTTTATTTAGAAGAATCATTTTGTTTTCTTGGGTTCATTTTCAGCTTCCTATTTGTTTTCTCAGATGTCGTATCTTCCTTTGGTTAAGATATTGTAGTAATAAAACAGGTGCTCAACCATGAAAGGCAAGCATGAAATTATTTCTTTTATTTATAATAATACACTGCAGAAAGTTTCTCATAACAAAATGCCATGATACTGAGCCAATTAACTTTTTTTTACTGATTTATTAACTCTGGGTTGACTGCATCACTTAAGATATTATTAAGCAAATAACTAATTAATCAGCACCCACTCAAGAATAGGACCATCGTAGATTGTGTCCGATTTGATAGACTTCTATGCGAAATCTGCAGTAGAAGATGGTAGCTAAGCTTAGGTCGTCACCAATCCATAAAAATCTTTTCATGTAGGATCAAATTATAAGAAATTTTAGATATATGATTTTGGAAAAAGAAGAAGAAAGTTGGATATAGATTTTTTTTTTTAATTTAACCTATATATAATGTTTTATTTGTGCTTGTCATGTAAATTATGAAAATGGACAAGAAGAGTAAGTTAAACTGGGTTATATTAAAGTGTGAGTTTTTTTTTTTTTTCTATTACGATTTCTTTCGTTTACACCTGTATAATTAAAAGTAAATTTGCATAATTATGACGTTAGGATAAAGATATTTTACGTTCTCTTGTACCTAAAATAATAATAATTATTAATTTTATATTAATAAATAGTAAAATTAATAGTTTAATTAAAAAGATATAAATATTATTTAATCTTAAAATTTAAAAGTATAAATACTTCTCGTTTTAATAAACTTTTATTACTATTAATTATTTATTCTCAAGTCTAAATGTTAAGGTTAAGATTCTGCTTAATTTAATTTTTTTTTGTAGCTTTCACAGGAACAAGCACAAATAATGGGGTTATTGGGAATTAAAACTCGAAAATCTTGTATGATCTTATAATTAATCAACTATTTGGAACCATTAGTTCAATACTTGAATGGAGTCCACACTCTGAATCTGATACACTATAAGAAATGACAAAAGCAGCATTACTTTGTGATAAAATGATACCTAATCTAAATAGACGTATGCATTAAACTAATAGAAGAAAAAAAAGTTGTATTCTATAATCTCATCAAGATTGGACGGTTAATATATATATAAGCACGCCGACAATGACCCTTATTGCTATCCTTTCTAATAATTTAATCCCTGTTGCTCATAATTGATTCAAAAGTAGTAGACAATTCCCAAACAAGTTTAATTACATATACATTAATATAAATTATGACAAAGGATCGAGCATTCGGAGTAATTAATTAGCCTAATTAATCAATCATCTTCCAGAGCATGTCAACTAATTTCCTTTCCTACATCCAATTGGCGGTTGCTGATCATTTTTAATGAGGCTGCTAAATGCTATATAATTCTATATGATATGACTTATAAATATATAATCTTAGCATATATATATATATATATATATATATATGGAGAAAGAGAAAGAGTGGGAGGATATGCTTACACTTCGCATCAACCTTAAATATTATATTTTTTTAATATTTTTTATAAAATATAGAATTAATCAATTTAATCGTTGATTTGAATATTATTATCAAATAAATTAATTTTATAAAAAATTTAATAAATATTACATCAAATTACTTTATTTTAGTGTATAGTATATAAATAAAATATAAGCAAATATTAATTATTGAATAACATTTATAAATATATAAAATTTGACATGCACGATTATGATGATAATAATATGATTTAATGGTTAAACTAATAAATATCATTTTTTTATAAAAATTTATTAAGTAATATAATTGTTCAAATTTAATATTTGACTTCAACAAATCTTAACTTATATGTGTGTGAAATAACCAAGATAAAAACACTTAATTATTATGAGATTGAAAACAATAAAAATAAGTTGTTAGATTTTATTTAAATGGTCAAAATTAGAAGGAAAAAAAAGAAGAAGCACATGACTGTTTTAAGTGGTCATTTTATCATTTTTAATCTTGACATTAAAATAATTGTTAAAAGAATAAGATCTTTATAATAATTTTATATTTTTTATATAATACATGCTTTTTTAGTGCAAAAAATTATCTCTCTTAATGCATGATATATTAAAATTTAGAATATTTAATATTAATAATGTATTAAATTTTACATTTTTTAAAAATATTTATCATATATAAATTTTTATTGTATGTTTTTAAACACATTAAAAAAAATTAGGTACAATATTCTGTGTTTTTAGTGTTATTTTATAATTAAAATTTTATTTCAACAATTTCCGTATTAAGATCAACATTAAAGATTGACATATTTTACCGAAGTAAAACTCTAATTTTAGTAAAAAAAAAAATGAACATCACCAAAAACACGTATAATATTGTATATAAATTTTTTGAATTAAAAATAATTAATTAAATAAATTTTCTTACCTTGTGCAAACTTCATTCAGGATAAATAATTATATATAATAAAATTTTATTAAAAATGATAGAATTTAATGTAAATTAACATGTTAATACTTTTAAATATTACAATTTTAAATAAAAATTTACTATTACTTTGTGTTGTGTTAAAAGAAATGGTTAATTCAATGCATTCTTGTTTCTTGAATCTACCGACCTTTATGACTTGTTTTACCGAGTTGAGGAGTAAACATAATGAGCAAGAGTTGAGTTGAATACACACATGAATGAGATCACTTGGAACTTAATTTGCTCTGAGATATGCATGTGAGACTACAGTACTGCGTGGAGTAATAAACATGCATGTAATTAATGTGTTATATGTATAGTCCCTTTCCAATCACACGTACATCAGCACTCTACCACCTTCTTCACCACTTCAAAAGTCTAAAATGCATGCATGTGGAAACATGCATCAAGAATAGCCAAAGCATTAACTTTCCAAGCTGCTAATTTTTTTCAGACGCAAAAATAGGGAACAAAAGAGACAGGCTAATATATAGCCCATGTCTACAATGCAACTCGACACTCTAGATTCAACATTAATGCAGCTATGTACGAAAATTAACTCTAACTCGCTCTCCCTCTTTCATTATAAAGTGTTCCACACGTTATACGAAATTTAAACAAATTTTATAGTGATGCTGTACAAATTCTTTGCTGAACTAGTTATTTTTCTCTGTATCTCTCGTTTTATTTGTCATTAAACATCATCAATTGTTTACTTTGTTTTTGTTAAACTTGTAATTGAGCCGTGACACTAGGGAAATGCCCTTTCTTCGTTGCAGGATTATAATCTCAATGTAGAATATTATTGTTGCCTTATTTGTCAACATAACTCATAGTAAACATTAATATTAATTAAATTTTGTTTAAAGCTAAACTTAAGTATTCACAAATAAAAATTTTTTATGAAAAAATATATATTTATTATATTAAAGTTATAAAAATATAATAAATACTTTATTTTTTAATAAAATTTTATATTATTAATTGTTATCTTCATAATTACAGACGTTAACAAAACTCATTATTTTTATATCACATAATATAACATTATCAATATTTATCTTTCTCCTTCGTATCATTTTTTTACCATAACTTCTCTTTCTTCTTTTATTATCTTTCTGGTTGCTGTCCACTATATCATATAAAAAATTGTATAGATACAATTTCTCCTTTTAGAATTAGATGGCCATTCCATTTTAGCCATTCAGGTTTTGGGGGCATCCCTAAGTTTGATGGGGTAATGGAAAAATGCAAGAAAAATAAAGTTATTCTCTCTCTCTCTCTCTATATATATATTGTCAATTATACATCTCCTTCTGACCCTTAATTTTGGTGTCTCTTACTAGTAGAGAGAGACATTATTATTATGTCTGTATAATCTTGGGCATGTATGTGAATCTCTCTCCTCAACCTGTGAATGAAACCTTTTCTTTCTCTATTTTACTTTGAATGATGATACAAAATCAGAAACATTTTATTGATAGATTTCAGCCACACGTCAATATTAAAGTTTGGTTGTTGGATAAGTTTAATGGGTAAACAATCATTCGGTACGTGTAATGAATTCCTCATCTCATGTTTTTTTTTATAAGGTTTTTTTTTTTAACTAATCTGCATAAATCAATAAAGTAGATAAAATTAGTTAACTTTTTTTTTAAAAAAATATTTTATTTTTTACTTTTTTCGTTTTGAAAATAATTTCTTTAACGTATTTTATTTTTAAATAATAATAATTTTACAAATTTAAGGAAGATTTTTTTTCAATTTTATTCTTAAAATAATTTATTTTAAAATCCATTTTCTATCTTCTCTTTCTATTAATTTATTGTATAAATAATTGTGCACCGTATCTCTCTTACTGTTGTTTTGTGATTCAAATGACACTTATTTTTTTTTATCTTTTATTATCTTCTCATACACTTTGTATTTTGAGTCGGTAAGGTAAAATAGAAAATATTATAATTTTTTAATAAAAATAAGATGATTAAATACATTTTTTAGTTTTTTAACCACAATTTTAAACTACTATTTGTCAGAAATAAGAGTAAAAAATATTATAACATGGTAATTTTATCTTCATTTAATACTCTTGAACATAACCCTTCTTAATTTTAATTTAAGTTTCTACCAACTTCATTTATTAAGAATAAATAAAAATGAATATAATAAATATTTCATAAAAATCATAAATTGTCTTATAAAAAAATGAAATAGAGTAGTAGATTGACCGCAAGTGATAATAATATAAAGAGTTATAATACTCAATTAAACTATGTATCTATACCCATGGTCACTCAAGATTGACAAGGGGTACAAGTTAAGTTGCATAATCAAAAGACAATAATCATAACAACGTAGCATTTAATTATGTTAAGATTCACCACCATAATAGATTGTTGGAAAAGAATTCTGGCTTATTTTCCTTTTCCTTTTCCTTTTCCTTTTTAACCATAAAGGCATTTACAAGTTATGTGTACATCGTAAAAAGAAATGTAGTATTGAGGTGGAACTCATTGGTGTGCCAGTTGCATGCAATTCTGAGACATGCACTTATTGTCTCAAATGCAAAACAAAAGCAAACAAAAATGGACCATTCTCATTTTCAACATACACAAAGGTGGGCACATGCCGTAAAGACACAAACGCGCAATTCCCTCGTCTTCTTTTCAAATAAATTAATCATATTTATTTAACAACTTCAAATAAATGAAGAGTCATAACCTCTTCTTTTTAGGTACAGTGCTACGCAAATTGCATATAGTCACCATAACCAGACAATGTTCTTAATTCATATATATTTGTCTCATCAGCATCATAGGATACTCCACTTGCAACCAAAGCCACTACCTATGCATGCAATGTAACAAACTCCTTCTCTTCTGTGCCACCTTTCTATTTAGTACTTCTTAAGTCATTAATTAATTAATTTAAAATATGGAGTGTGTATGTGTGTGTATAAAGAAAAAGAAGCAACTAGCTAGCTATATAGGAGAGTTAGCATAACTTTTATGTATACTTATCTATGTCATATATGTACCTTTATCATTAAATTTCTCTACTCTTTTTAGCCAATAGAAGCTTCCTCGTCATTCACATAATTAAAACTCGAATTCCATTTACAATAAAACACAGAGACACAAGAAACAGATTGAAAAGAAAAAAATAATTAATATATATTCATGATGGCGATGACCCTTTCCTTTGCTTCTAAATCAGCCCAAATACATCGACTTGCAGCAGCAGCAGCAGCTTAATTTCCGGCTAATTAATAATTGGTTTCAATTACATTACGTTTTAGAAGCTCGAGAAATGATTTTGAGAAGGTTGAACCATTTGCAATTCCGTTGTTGTTTGGCATGAGTTATCATCGCTGATTAAGGTCCTGTTGAACCAAAGGGAAAAGGGATCACTTTTATTTATTTATTATTTTCTGATGATTTGTAATCAATCTCTTAAGAAGATTATTGGACGTTTCAGATACGTAAGTGTTGTTGAAACGTGATAGTACGCGGCAATAGCTAGAAATCAAGACCATCGATCCATACAAGTTCCTTTTGACTAATCCAAGTGTTATATATTTTAAAAGAAAGATATTGAATTTCAAATAATTTATTTCTTATAAAATATATAGGATCAGCAATTATTCCGTACATTGTATGAAAATTTAAATTCACATAAAATTAGAAAAAATTCAAACTTATTAAAATTATATAATAAATTTAAATAAATAAAATATATGTAGTTTAAATTTTTTGAAAAAAGTCTAAGAGTATGTATTTGAGATGAAAAAAAAATTATTAAAAAAAGTTAAAAATAATTAATTTAATAAAATGAAATTTTAACATAAAATGAAAATATTTAAATTTTTGTAAAATATAAAAAAATTAACAATCATAAAATATTCTAAAAACTTTTAGAATGATAGATAAAAAATCCTTAAATTTAAGAGTAAAAAGACACACAATTTATCTAATGTGTGCCTTAAAAACCTAATATTTAACATTATTAATATATTAAATTTAATAAATTTTAATAAATTTTTATTATATAGTCTTTAGCCCATGTTTTAAATATCGATCAAAAGAAAGTAATTTAGAAAAGGGTGTATGATGTTAAATATCTTACTCTCTTGGTCTTGATGCCCAAAGAGAACTAAGGGTTCTAAGACGGCCATAATACTCTCCAATCACAAGAAAACACCGTGCTGCTTGTCGAACTGTCAGTAATCGACATAATTGGTGAAGGGTCTGTTGCCTCAAATTATCAGCCTTCAATTCAGAAACACGAATGATTCATCAGTGAGAATTGAGACAATAGAGTATAAGCAAGAAGCCAAGTTAACAAAACAATTAAGTCAAAGGAGAGTATGATATTTAATTAATTCATTAATTCTTAATTATACACAAAAAGTAAAATCAAACCCCAACTACCGTATGAGATGGACCCCTAGCTAATCCAATGGCACATATGGACAAGAACCCTATGCTTTCAAAAAGGTTGAAACTGATGAGCTTGTCTTATCTATAAACTTAGACTACTTCTAATACACTAAAATAATATATTTTCTTTTAATTTTATAACACCAGAATTTAATTAATTAGGAACCATTTGGCAATTTGGTTTTTTAAATATTGATGATTTAAAGTCTACCTAGGGTTTATGCATAAACATCCACACGTCACTTTCTAAAACCAACTTCTGATTGTAACATTTTAAGATGGAAAAACTACATCAACATTTTGATGAACAAACTTACACCTTAAATATTAATAGCAAGATTGCCAGGTAATAAACTAAGGTGCCCAGAAACGATAGAGTGAAATATACTTGTAAAGACGTGTCAAACAAGTAGAAGGTGATCTAAGTCAACCCAATTATATACAAGAAATTATTAAGTTATTTAATCATATTGAAAGAAGTTGTAAGCTTGTACAGCTTGATACAATATAATATAGATAGAGTCTACCAGGTCATGATGCTGATCAAGGAACTAAAGGTATCTATCAGTTGGCAAGTGTGAGGATTACCCATAAAAAAACAAAAATTACAATTCAAGTTTGTTTGTTATATATATAAATATATATTAGCCATATATGAAAAAAGCAATAAGAGGTAAATATGCTTATGTTAAATCACGTTGAGGTGATCAGAGGTGTAAGCTAATTAAGGATACTATTTTGTGGTACAAGACAGAATTGCGGCGCAAAACATGCAGAGTGCATGAATGAGTAAAAGAAACAGAATGATGAGAAAGTAACATTTCAGCTATTACTAGTTATCCATATTTAGGTTTTAGGATTAATTTTGTCTCATTGATCATGTAAGTCAAGTTAACATATACGTGTTAAAAAAGATGAACCTGAAAAATATATGTTTCAAGTGAAAAGATAAACCAGCTGAATTCTATAATACAAGTTGAATAATCCAATTTCAAACACCAAGTTTCTTAAACCAATTGATATTTGAAAGCTAGAAACTGAGGGATGGACAAGTCATGTACGAATTCAAATTTAATTTTGACATAAACGTATGAAGAGGCCTCGCTCTCGTATCATTAGTCAAATAGAAATTTTGCTACATATAATTTTGACACAGATGTCACCTTGAGGCTTTACGTCAACCTCCCCCACCAAATTTTGTGCACAAAAAAAGTATTTCTTTAGCACTAAGACATAAGAAAAATATTGTGATCAATCAATTCAACAATATGACAATTTTTCTTAAAAAAAGTAATGCCCACTGCCTCCCCTTTTTGTGTTTATTTTATTTATCTAAAACATGTTACATTATGTATATATGGCACATAATTTTATATATATATATATGTGCATAAATTTTATCAAGTATAGTTTAATTACCTGACTGACAAATCCTTCAAGGTTGGCAAGCTTGCCTATGGCAACGATCATCTGTTGGACACCGTCAACGGCGGGGCCACCGGCGATGGTGTCAACCAGAGACTGCTGAAGCTGCTCAAGACCTTGGGAGAGAGCCTCTTCAGCTTGCTGTGATGAGTGGCGGAGCCCATATATGCCCATGATTTGCTGCTCCGCTAGAGGCTCCAATTGTTGTATCAACATCTGACCAAAATAATATACGAATTCATGAATTTTCCTTTTCAATATCATGCACCATGAATATTTTTACGAATACTAAGAATATGATAAATATTTTTAAAAAGTTTTTATTTCATTAACTTAAAGTATAGTTGAAAAGATTAACCTTAACGTTAATTACTGCCAGAATTAATTTTCTCTAGAAACAGTTATCCATTGACACAATCACTAACATATAACAAGCTATACCTAGGTAAAAGTTAAAATGCTCTTACCAAGAAAGTTGGATATCTCACCTGGATCGAAGAAAATGACTCCTCTTTTTATTTTATGAGGTTTGTTTGCTATTTATATTTATATTTTTTGGTGCAAATCTAGAGAAAGTATGTTTTATAGAAAAAGCTACTTACAATTTTTTTCAGATATTTTAATTATCACAAGCTCTCTCTATCTCTCTCTCTCTCTCTTAGACAGTCTGATCCTCACACAAATATCTTACACTTATGTTGTGAGCACCTTTGAAAAAACTTTGTATAAGAAACATTTGTAAACAGAAATTTGTATTTAACAGAATAAATGCAAGTTATTTATAAATGTTTTTTAAGTTTAATTGTTTAACTTATTTTAAAGAAATAGTTATTTATTTTTACCAGTTTTTAATATATTCTTAAAGTAATTATTTATAAATGTTTTTTAAGTTCAATAATTAAAATTATTTGTTTTAAATAGTTCCTTATCAAACATGCACTCAATAATATGTTAATCTTATAGAAAAATTTAAATTAAATCAAGTATTGAAACACCCTTGTTTGCTTAATTATTTAGTTTACTTTTGTGATTGGCCTTATGAAGTGTTGAAGGGACAAAATATGCATAGATAACACATACTGCGATGAGATCTGATGGTCTAAAACCACCTATCCATAGGAAGCATCTTTCAGCTGGGGAAGTCCACATGCCATTAATAAGATGAAACACATCCGTTTTAGCTGCCACCCCCTTCAGCCTGAAAACTTCATCATAATGAGACAGATATCCATCCACAACCACTCTTAATTCGCCTTCCGACAGCGGCGCCTGCAGCCCAGTCCGGAGCTCCGCCATGTGCCGGTGGTCATCTTCTAGCCATCTTGCATACTCCATGTCAAACATTGCAGCTCCTACAACAACACAATCTCCTCTTGTTACCATAATAGTTGCTAACTATTAGTATAACATGGTTTAGGTTTCTTTTTGAGCATATCAAATTAAGAATTATTTATTATATTTTTAATGTAATAAATTATTTTTTTAATGAAATTTTATCACACTTTTATTTGTAATAACAGTGCTATTATATATATATATATATATATATATATATATATATATATATATATATATATTTGGTATGGAATACAATTGATGGTCAAAATTGATTCTTGACATAAAAATTTATAAAAATGCGTTTTTTTTCTTCTAAAAAAGTACTTTATATGATATTGGTTTATATAATATAATATTTTATGTTGGCTGAATGCAAGAATGGTAGTTTTTTTTATTGAAATTGAAGTGTAGGTTGTTTGGTAACCAGGGCGAATATGGTCCCTAATGAAACAGACCTAGCACCATTTTATTTAATTCATCTTATGAACAAATTAAAATCAATGGATTAATCTCAAGGCATTGTGCTTTTGTTTATCATCCCAAAGTGCATTTTCTCGGGATGTTACCACTCCTTGTTCAAAACTTTTTCTTTTAATTGTAAAATCGTGTTCTTTACTAGAAGTGGAAAAAAGCAGTTATCATGGATCAATAATTCGCTGAAAAGTTAAAGCATATAAACTAGCCTTTATATACATGTTTAGAAAGGGTAGCACAGTATTGAATCTTCATTACATTTTAATATATTATCACAATCTTACTTAATAATGGTCCATTATTTTTTTTTTTCAACTTCCCCCTTTTTTTTATGTGGATTCAAACGCGAATTAGGCTACAGATTTTAGTCAAATTCCAAGACTTCTCAGCTGATTCTAGATTTTGAAGTGGACTTTCAAAATCGAGTCTTGACTTTTTTTTTGTGTATTAAAATTTTCAAACTGCGTAAAGGGAAGTTACGTGTAAATAATAGCAATTTTTCACTACGAGTCTCTTAATCCTTTGTCCCATGTTCAACTTTCTGAAGTGTCACATACATATTCATTATAACTAGTTTTTCCATTATAAGAGTCAAAAAATTACCCCAACAAAATCTTTCAGATATTCATCATACCATGTTTTTCCATGTTTCATAATCATTTATCATTTGATAATATATGCTTCAGAAAATCATGGCATGACCGGCCTCTTCTATCTTCTCGAGTTTAAGGTATTAGAAAATGAAATTGCATTTAGAAAACCAATAAAAGAAAGAGATAAACTCACCAGAGTTTATATTCCCACCAGCACCACCACAACCCAAAAACAGCCCCTAATAAATCAAACATCACAAACAAAATCATTACAAGTCAAACAAAGGAAAAACATTATGCAGATTTTTTTGTAGCTTCATTATTTAAATCGCTAAAATTGATACTACATGTATAATGTATATAATTTTTTATAGAATAAAAATTATATATTATTTTTAAGTGTTGTTAGTATTGTTTATCAATTTTTTAATGTTATTTCATATCATCCAAATAAGACTTCTACTTTGATCGGTAAACAACACTAGCAGTATTTAAGAAATTACATCTAATGTTTGTCTTTATTTTTATCTCTCACTAATTTTTTAACTTTTTATATACTTGTATCTCAAAAATATATAAAATATAATGTTAAATATCCCCTAAACTGATACATGCAGCATTTTTTGTGTGTACGTATACATTAAATGAGAGAGATCAGAGAACCTGAGAGCGTGCTCGTTGAAGGTCTTGTTCAAGGTGGGTGAGCTTTAATCTACTTGACTCAAGTTGCTGAACATAAGCCTGTTAAAATGCAGCAGCATATTTACACAAAATGTACTTTTTGAGGTTACATTTTTGCGTTATAATATACACTTTCTAATAAGCTGAATGTGTATGTAATTGTACGGTAGAATATGTGATGGGACACACCTTTTTCCTGAGACGGCTTTTCCTTGCAGCTTCTCTGTTTTGAGCCAAACGTCTCAGTGTCTGAATCCAAACCAAATAAGAAAATCTTGACTTACCTCTCATGTAAAAAGTCCAAAAAATAAAGATACCTTGGAATATAATATATATTAATATTAATATATATTATAAATAAATAAATGTCTGTGTGTCATATTCAAAACCTTTGCATCAAGTTGCTTCTCTGATGTGGAACTGGCCCCTTTCCTCTGCAATAGAAAGAACCCAAAAGAAGAAAGAATTAAAGGATTTTTGAAAGGTGAGAAAATAGAGAGGTAAACTTAATCACTGAGACGTTAAGTTACTTAGCTTAGTGTAGAATAATAAAAATGGGACTTTTTAAAGCCAAGAAAAAAAAAACTTTCTAATTACTAAATTAATAAGGGAGAAAAATGAAGGAAGTGTATGTTTGGAAAGTGCACAAAATTATCTTAAACCATATTTTAACAAAAAAATTATAACTTGTAGCATTAAAATGAATTCATGTTTGAACGTATTTAACATCAATCAAAACACGCTAAAAATTGTTCAATATTACTCAAGTTCATCCTAGCTTTGAGGTTGGTAAACAAAAGCAAAGCTCACACAGATGCTATGCTTTTAATTAACCAATAATTCAAGATAAATGAATAGGATTTGCTCACATAATTATTGGTAAGCATTTCTGAATGCAAAGGGTAGCAAAAAGCATCTTTATCTGCCATTGTTTTGGTGTATATTTTTATGGTTTAGATTTCTAACTCCAAAATTAACTTTGAGAGGGGATTCAGTGAAGTGGGTGTGGGTCACTGTTAAAAGAAACATTGATAAGTACTGAAAAGATTCTCACTTTGTTTTTTTGTTTATCATGTTCATCTCTCTCTCTCTCTCTCTTCTCATATTTCATGTCAGACATTCATCAGAAAATCGTTCAGGAATCAGGAAAACTCTGTGTTCTTTTGATTTTCTGAGAGCTGTTGGGATCTGTGCTATGAAGGTATGCACAGAAGGATGAGGGAGAGAGAAAAAGAGCAACAGAGTAATAATAATTGCATTGAAGAGACCAAATGGAAAGAGAGAGAGAACTGAAGGATTAACTGTGGAAACAATAGTCTGTTTAAGAACCTTTTCTTGTGATTTTGCTGCTGATTGTGATGGACCTATTCTCGATGCATCAGTTACTGTCTCCTGTTGAAGTTGAAGTTGGTGATGTTGTTGTTGTTTCTGCTGTTGATGCTGCAGATGATGATGATGATGATCTGAAGAAGATGCTTTTATGCTTATGGGAGATTCGGTTTCAAATTGGAGCTCCGTTTTGCTTGAAAGAGTATTCATTCCTGATCCTGAATCTGTGCTTTCCCCCCCTGACTTTGAACTTCCCTGTGTTTAAACAAAACAAACATTTTGATTGAGATTTCCAAAACAAAAGTAACTATGCAAGTGAGTGGTTAATTAAATTCATGTCACTGTTTAGCACTTAATAAAGCCAATTATTAAAGAATAATAAATTTTGAAAATGAAGACTTGAATTAAAGCATAAATGAAAGAAAATAAAAGATATGGATGTTATTGAGCTTCTTTTAGTCCTAAGCATCTTTGATTTGGATATGGATTGGTCAAAGATGGAGAAGGGAGAGATATTACTACTCTTGGTGTTTGCTGGAACCTCATTGGCCATGAAGGGAACATTTCCAGTGTGGCTGCAGGCCTACCGGTGAATAAAGCTGCAAGAATCACAAAAGGAAAATCTCAAAATGAAGGCTTTGTGAATTTCAATTATATCATAGAGAAAGGAGCCTAATCCTCCTTTTCAATAGTCATGGAGTTAGAAAATCATGCAAGTTTCTAAGATTGAAACGCCCCTCCATCAAAGTTTATTGCCCCAGAATCATTATGGTATGGAAAATGGCAACTCATCCCTCTTCTTTCTCCTCTATGCTTTTGGAAAGACTCGGTTTGGTTATGCTTATCTAATGTCATAAAAAGGTGAACCATGGAAAGAAACATACGTGCTTTGGCTTCATCATTTCTTATTTGAATTCCTTGCAGAACAATAGCCTCTTCCAGCTCTCCAAAATCAAAAGCTGACCCTTGATTGCTAAGAAACAAATTCAGGATAAAAAAAATCAAACATGGAATGGAAACTAGAAATAAAGCAAATTTATAAAAATGAAGAAACACCATATAGCAAACAGTTCCTTAAAAGGAATTCAGTTATCATATCTGACAGAAAATTTTCCAAGTGTTAATAGTAATGAGATGGAGAAAACATTGAAGAATACATTAAGCTTGATGTGGGTGTATTAATTCCATGAAGAACTCCATAAGGGACATGGTGACTTGAAGGCCCTGACTCAGATAAACCCGTTTCTCCTAATCTTTGGCTCGCCATGCAAGACTATTCAGACCCTTCTCATATTCCCTGAAGCTAAAACTGAAAGGTTCTCATTCAGTAGAAACACAATTCACAAGAACAAAACTTGACTACCAGAGCTAAAGAATATAAAAATTGTAGTGTGTGCGTGTGCGTTTGTGTGTCCATAAATATATTATATACACACACTAATATATAGAAAAAAATTGGTGTATGAAAACCAGGATGTTATGACTTTACCTTTGGTTTTCTTTGGAATTTAAATGACAAAGAGAATCCTATATGGACAAGTTCACACAGTAACGAAAGATCAAAGCTTTCTTGTCAAAGTAATAAATATATAAGTTGGCACAAGAAGAGGGTCCGGTCTTTTTCTCATGTATGAACTCTTTGCAACATTTTATCTTTCATGGGGTGTCTCTATCTTTCCTTTCTCCTTCTCAAGGAAGAAACCTGATTGATAAGTGTGTTTGGCTTGCTTTATCATTGTCCCTAGTTGTAAATACTTTGAGATTGTGTAACTCATTATGTGGTAGTGTGGTACCCCAAATCTTGTCCTAGCAAATTAGCAACCTTGTGTCAGTCTCTATAAGCTTGTGGTGGGGTTTGAAAGGGTGATAAAATAAAGTTAAAAATTCAACAAAAACCATCTAATTTGTTTGATAATAAAAGTTTTACTTTAGCAGATTCATAACAAATTAAAGAGTATATAAATAAAGAATCATCAATCTAAGTAATTTTTTAGACCAACATATCATTCAAACTTAAAATTTAGGACCAAGTTCAAATATTTATGATAAAATTAATAAAATTTGAGGGGTGGGGGTCATCTGAAAAAAACCACCACAAATACTGACTCCTACTCCACTCTCTCTCTTTCTCTCTCTCTCTCTTCTAACCGCCTGTGTTCTCTTATTGGTTCTCTCTTGGGGGCTTCAACAGGGCTGCATGTACTTAACAGGAAAAAGTCGTGTATTCATTTATGTAGGAACACAATAAATTCAGTACTACAAGATCAAGATGAGACAAGTTTTTCTTTCTTTTTTCCCTTTTCCTTTCTCGTTAAAGATGGCAAAAAAGGACGAAAAGAGAAAACTCTAAAGGTGATTTTCTTGATCCTTTTATACCCCTTGGAGTGATGGATTTCACTTTTTTACAACTAGGGGCTATAAGAAAGTGAGTCCTTTTACACATCATATCCTAAACTTGTGCTCATACCATTTCAACCAAAACATTAGAATAATATTCCACAAGCATACCCACTTTGTGTATTTAATCTCAGCTCTGAGATGGATTTGTTTGGTATTTTCCCCTTCGTTGATAGGTCAACATCTATTCCCTGTCATCACCTAAAACCATGCCTTGTTAAGATTCTTTTCTACTTATAGACATGTGTGCAGAGCAATATGGTACACAGGACAATCATGAAATTACTAGCAACTTATTTTCATTTTTATTGCTAATTAGTATCATAAATCCACCATTAGATGTGGTTTATGTTTTGGCTTTTAGCTCTCAAATAGTGTCTTAAGTATTATGTTTCAACAATTTCAGTTTTCTAACATAATTCCAAGATTCACATTATTAAGGAATTAAAGTGTTTATGTAAATTGTAAATAACAAATGTATATGCTGATTAAGAATAGATAGAGAAAAAGAGATTGAAGGAGACTTTTAGGCAATATACCCAATCTACCCTATAAAGAGGTAAAATCATATATTAAATATTGTGCTCATCTAATACCTTTTATAGCCTCCTACCAATTATTCCTTTATGATGCCAATGATTGGTCATTAAAAAGGTGGTTTGGTTGAAAATAAAAACTCTCATAAGGATTATGTCAATATATATTTTAAGTATGTGACTCTATGTACCTTTGTTCCCAATATACCTTACAACTTATGTTCTTGGCTTGAAGATGTTTTTGTGAAGCTTCTAGGCCTTAGATTGTTCCATGAATCTTGCATTACCTTGAGCCGTAATTCTTTGAGCTCCACAGTTTCCTGTCTGCAGAGAGGTAATTGGTCTGGATCAGATTAATTCTTCAATTAATTATTCCCTTGTTGATTGTGTTCAAGTTCAACTATTATGTTAAGTCATTTACTTGTCGTCTAAGTAAGCAACTAGAACATTGTGTTATTTTTATAACCTTTTTGTTTTTTGGGTTTTTTTTTTTTTTTTGCCTTGGCTAGACCATTTGCACTGATACTGACATTGAACAGTTTGTGTGACCATTTGCCAGATCAAGCAGAGATGCCATGTGTGGGAATTAACCGTCCTAAATTGGACCCCATAGGCAATGAGAATTTTGATCTTACCTCTAACCCCAACACATAGATTTGATTTTTTTAAAACAAAAGAATATATAAAGTAACAAAATAATGATGTATCTATGTTTAATTTATCATGATTAATTTGTATTAAATACTTTATTTTAAATCAACAATAGATCATAATATATATAAAAAAATAATGTTGAAAAAGACCATATCTACCTTGATGATCTTTTGATTTCAAATAAAGAATAATTTTTATATTATCGAACATGAGGTACTTTTGATTAACACCATGATCAATAATAGATTTTTATTATTATTATTTACCTTATATTTTTTTTCATTTTACACGTTTACTTTAAAGGAGGTGAATTCTCCATATATACACTAGAATTTGCAAAATGGCTCGTTAAAAGCATATAATTCAGTCCTTTTCATAGATCAACTTATAAAATATTTTGACTGGTTAGAAATTATCCTTACTTTAAGAAATATGTATAATGATTCAACACAAGAGGAGAGTACTTATCCATACAAATGTGAAGATGATCACACACAATAAATAAACAAGAAAGGCACCGAGTTCATTTAGCTCATGTACATGTGCTCGAATTCAACAAAATTTGGGGAACCTTCAAACCTTATAAATAAAAGCTAAACAACAATTTCATCTACATGATGACGGTATGATCCGTTCCATATTTTTTGAATGCCCACGAAATCAACCTATTATTTATTGAAACTCACTTAAATTTCATCCGAATAAACTCAAATTATCATGCTTATGTAACCATCATTTTTTGAAATTGTATATATTCTTCTGTTTCAATCATCTAATTTTTTACTCGTTTTGGTTTGTTGAGCATCCCAGATAGTTTGACCTGATCAAATACAAGATCAACCTAATCACTGTTATCCAATCATTAAGAAACAAATGAAGTAAAAAGAAATCTTGATGTTGCAGTTTTTCTTCTTTTTATCGTTAGTATTGTTGTTGTTAAGCTTAATGTTTTTAGTCCTTGAATTTTAAAAATTCAGTACTTTTGATCTTTTTACTAACGTGACTCAACAAAAAAATTAACATGTAACCCAAACAACTGACACACGATAATTTTTTAATTATCATTATAATCAGCATCATTGTTGATCATTCTCCGAGAAGAAATATTTATAAATAAGAGTCCGCGTCAAAGAATTTCATTTTGCTTTGTAATTAGACGAGTAGATAGACCAAAAATGGGCTCTTTTCTCGAACTCGTTACGTTTATTTCAGCGTTATGAGAACAATTACTTGCAAAGCGTAACAGAGATGTAGGAAGATTAACCTACAATTTGTGGATCACAATATTATAGAATTGCAACGACAATACTGCTCTTTTATTAAAAATGATTTTTTTTTAAGTGTATAATGATAAGAAAAATGTTACTTGCACACTTTTAGAATACTTATTCTTTAAAAGGAGTGTGTTAGTCCCTCTGTAATCATGTCTAACTCGAATCAGAATAGTGTAAACAAAAAAGTGTTAGTAACATTAATATTGGTAACATGTAATTGAGTATTTGTTAATTCAAACTTGGAGCTGGCTTAATTTCTTTAAGTGCACCACGCTGATAAGAATGTGAAAGTGTCTTTGAAACATCTTAGTGTTAAAACATATAACACTTTCAAATGCTATTCATCCGAAGTTATATGACCATTGAATTTAAGTCGATACGTTTGATAAACTTAAAAGCTTTCTGATATTCTAATCCATGGAACATTTGACAAGTTTAATGTTATCACCGCTTCAACCCTATTTGACAAGTTGGTTAAGCAGCAGCTCATCATCTAGTTGCCCAAATAGCTGGTCAAGTAAATTAAAAGGATATTCTAACGTTGACAAACAATTATTCACCTCATTAAAGAGTTATCCATCTCTCCATTCTATGTAAATCATGCCAAAAAAGACTAGCAAGTTTTGCAAGACACGAATGATTATAGTTGCTATCTCAGAAACTGCAGGCAAGTCCTGATTCCTAACAAACAACAACAAAATCTTATCCAATAAGTGATGTCGGCTAATGTATGGTTTCGACAAGTTTGACATTAGCTGCCGAGAACCTAATATAACCTTCCTCCTAACAACATAACAGCCACAAAATGGAAGAATCAGTCAGGGAATGCATCATAGTAGTAAACCTGTTCCCCTAGTGCAACATATTTATCTGAGAAAGAAAAATTGCTTTCAATATGCAATATAATCACACTACTGAAAAATCAGTTAAAATATCAGCATCAGGATCAATACTCTATTCTCTAAACAAAGGAACAGTAACCTATAGTTCAACAGCATCACAAAAACTTATTATCATATCTAGTTCTTTCCTAGGCTGGCCCTCTCTGCGTACTTAGAAGCTGAATAATTGCAGTATGGCACATACCAACACAGTATTGTCCAAGAAACAGAAGTGAAGGAAAGATAGCCATAACATGTCCACTGAATAGAAAGGGTAAACTTGCTCAAGAGCCAAGTCCTCTTGAATGCGTCACCATAATAACTCTCTTCCCTCAAAATTGAATCCATTTCAACGGTTTCTTATTTTATTTTTCGATCTTAATTATAAGGTTAAAATACCCAGAACACATCGGACATGGTAAAATTTTCAGATTAGTTTATGGATTTTCTATTTCTAAGAAAAGGGATCAAAATTATAAATTTCTACTATGAGCTATAATTGTTGGTTGGTCACAAATTCCAAATAGACTCCAGCCAATAAATTAAAAATTGTGCATAGACACTTGAATTCAATAAGTTACCGGAAAATGTGACACAATTAGAATTAAAATAAACCCTGAGCTATGAGTCTATAACAAGGCATTAGCAGAATCCTATTCATACTTAAAATGTGGATCTACATGTGTGTATCTCCTCATCAGCTCAACCATGGATGTGGTGAAATTGGCTAACATCTGGCATTCTTCATGAGTCTTAGCCTCGGAAACAACCCCATGAATGACCAACTTCTTGAGATTGGGGCATCGCTTAAGCAGCCCCTCAACCCAGTGGGAGAAAAGATCATTGATCACAGTCCATCCGAGCTCCAAGACAACAACATTATCCAGATAGGAAGATACCTGTAAACCATAGTGAAGCACTCCATCCCTCACATCATAACTCAGAGATAAATGGCTCAGGTGTGGAAAGCAAGTTGCAATTGTTTCCAAATCCACAACCTCATCCTCATCGTCAAACATCACATCCCAAAGCCGAAGCCTCTTCAAATTTGACGATCTTGAAATCATCTGGTAAAACTTTTGCCATATAATAGTGAAGTTGCTGATATCCACAGTCTCAAGATTCTCAACCGTCTCACCAATATCAAGATGTATAACGCTAACATCATCAATTTTGAAATGCTTCAAGGTCCCCTTGCCAATGAGTTCAAAAACCTCAAGAGCACAATCTTTCAAGTGCAAGCTCTCAATTCCATCAGCCTCCAATATAAACTTGTCCAAACTGATAGCTTCTACAAATACACTCTTCAGCGTTGAACTACTCAACTCAACAGTCACCTGAGCATCAGACATTGCAATCTCCGGATTCACAAGTTCCAAGGTTTCAATCTTTGGACAAGCAGAAACTAAAAGATGCAGATCCAACGCGGATATACTGACATAACTCAAGGAAAGAGATTTCAAACAAGGGAATCTCTGATAATTAGGCTCAACCCCTGCAATGGAATTATGAGCCAAATCTAGTATTTCCAGCTTGTGCCTGCCACATATTTCAAGAATGTTAACATTAGGCATAGTCTTCACATTATAATACAATTGCCTCAGAGTTTCCCTGGTGTACAAGAGCCAAGCAGTAACGGTGGGAGCCGAAAACTCATCCACATCTTCCATCAAAATGGAGAGAGACTGCAACCCTGAGGTCTGAAAAATGGTCTGTGTGATCAAAATCTCGAGGCGGGTAGTCGTCAAATCCCGGTAAAGGGGCCAATCTTTGGAGCTGAAGGAGAGTGTATGAAGGTGCTTGCGACATGCTAGTCTCCATTTCCTGCATGTTGCAGAAGCTATCACCACATCTCTTGCAGCACTCAGGTGGGACAGTATGTTCCCAATCACTTCAACAGGAAGCTGGTCCATGTTGCAAACCCCTCACACCACACTATCTATCAACTACCTTAGTCTTGTGTTCACAACAATCAAGAACAACAATAACCAAAAAAAAAAAAAAAAACCAAATCTTCTTTTCAAATCCTTCAATTAATTCAAGCGTGATTTTGGACCCTCAAAAATCACCCCAGAATCTTTAATGAATGTCACCAGATTCAAACGCTCATCATCTATCATCAATTTCCATTCTCACTGGATGAATTTGCAAAATCACACCAAAATTAACAAAGCGATTAAGAGATAATCAAGGATGTAAAAAAGGGAATCGGTGATTTAGAATCTATGATCAGAATTGAAATTAAAACTTAATTAATTGATAATTTAAAAACTAGAAAGATAAGGAACAATTGATTATTTACCTGGAAAAGAGAAAGATAAGGAACAATGAACGAGGATGATTGTTTGAGATTGTTGAATGTTATTGGGTCAAAGAGAAAGAGATCGAGCACGTTTGAGAAGTGAAGTGTTTCAGATGGAACACAAACACAAACACAAACACAAACATAAACAGAATCTGTTGTTTCAATGTGAAATCTCAAGTCTGAAACCAAACCAAAGTTCCTTCGTTGAAGTTTGACGTACGATTTGCCATGATTTGATTACAGTGGGTTTCAGTTTCTCTTTCAGATTCTGCCAAACTTATCATATACAATGAATATAATATAAAGTCATAATTATTAATTAAAAAATTCATTACTAATATTGTGATAAATGAATATATGTAGTAATTGTGGAGTTGTTAAATTAAATGTTACAAATATTTTCTTCTAATTTTATCTTTTAAATTTTTTGTCAGTGAATAAATCATGTTTATAAATTATTTATAATTTTTTAATTGATAATAATAATTCTAAACTTTACTTTTTAAAAAATAATAATTATATTTAGAAAAAAAAACTCGTATTATTATTATTATTTGAATTGAGCATACACCCAATTCCAATCCAAGGTGGACAATTACGTTTTTCTTTTGTCTTGTTCACTTTTTGAGTTTTGATGTATTTTGAAAGATGACTAACTGTTCCTTGGCATATTCGACTGTTCAGTCATATCAGTTGACTATAGATTTATTGCATTATTAATTACTAATATTTTGATTGGCTCTATGTTCTCCTTTAATGGTATTTTAAATATTTTAATATTTAAAAACATTATTTTTTAACTTGGGCAGCTTTGAATATGATAAAAATTAATAAATATTTTTATTAAAAAGTATAATATTTAACAGTATTAATGTTTTAAATATTATTAAAATTGCCCCGTTTATCAAAAAAAATTATTAAAATTATTATATATTCTTTATTTATTTTTTCCTATTTTAGCTCCAATAATTAATTATTACAAATAATTTTATACCATTTTGTATAAATTTATTATAAATAACTCTTTAAAATAATCAAAACAAAATGAATTAACTTTAAATTATATTCAATCTAACGTATTTAAATATAAAATTTATTTCATGTAACTAATATATCTTTTTAAGATAATTCAAACAAAATATACCATTTTTCTAAACCAAAAAAATACATATAACTTATTTCATGTAATGGATTTACTGTTGCTCTATTTCTATATATAAAATATAGATTTCAAAATTTAAATGGAAATATGTTTTAAAATATATTTTATACAGTTAGTTTTTTAATTAAAAATGAGTATTTTAATCTTATTTATTATAACATAGTATTTGGAGAAAATTTTGTTTTCCTTTCATGTATTTTTGTTATATTTAATTTAAATTTTAAGTTTTTTAAATGAGTAACCCAATGTCATGTGTAAAAAAAGCATGCACATCGCTCTTACTTAATATAAGAACTGAACATCTAGTTTCATTTTTGTAAATAAAAATACAGAAAATGATAATTTTTATTTAAAATTAATTTAAACGAATTTTGCGTTTTTTCTTTCAATTTTTTTTTTCTCCTTATGCCTAACACTTTCTCTTAAACTTCCATATTCAACTCTTTTTAATCTTCATATTTAACCTTCTCTCATACTTAACTTTCACTTTCCTCTACCTCATGTTCAACTTTTTTTCTTTTTCTTCTCACCTTCACCCCACTTTATAACCATCTTTCTCTCTTTTTTTATATACCTAACTTTTGACCATCACTTTTATACTACTGCTTTTTTTATTTTTATTTATCCTCAATCCTCTCTACTTTCCACACTTAACTTCCATCTCTTCAAATGTACAAAATTTGCTTAAGACAAAAAAAATTAATTAAAATATTTTTGTATTAAAATTTTTATTATTTTTTACATTTTAGCTTAAAAAATTTATTTTTACTTAAATAAAAATGAAACTGAATGTTTAGTGTTAACAAACAGATTCACACAAGTAAAAAAACTATTTCACGATTAAAACGTATAATTTTATCAGTAACTTTGAATGTGTTTTTTATGCATTTTATCAATAAATTAGAGATGTAGGACTTTTAAATTGAAAATAATTATATATATTAATAAATATATTTTTATATTAATATGATATGTCATATTATTTAAAATCAACGTATTTTAGCGGAACTATTCCCTGTATTGTATTTAATATATTCTCACATGTAAAAATATTTCACATACAATTAAAAAAGATTCTATTATTTTAAAAAGTGAATTATTAGTGAATCTATTTTTTATATGTATATTTTATATTAAAATTGACTGAAAAATAAATTTTCTTTTTATCCATGTTTTTGTGAATATTAAAGTTATTACTTAATTTTTCTTTATTACCATACATGATTTTTTTTTTTATATTTTTCATAAATATCTTATTTTTATTTTATCAAAATTATCTTAATTATTCCATTTTTTTCAAATTTATTTAAATTTAGGATTTCTAATATGTATTAATTGTTAACATTTAATTTAATTTCTTTAATCTATACAATAAAAGTATTATTTAAAAATATTGAATATTTTTAATTTTGATACATAATATTCATACTTATAGAGTTAAGTTAAAATATATTTTTTTAAATTATTATTTAAAATAATTTTATTATATATAATTACTTACAGAAATCTGGAATTTATTTTTTAATTATTAAATTATATATATATATATATATATATATATATATTCATTATGAAATAAATACATGCCACTAAACTAGTTTATATTGTAGTTTATAATATAATATAGACACAATACTCATTTAAGAATAAGATTTAATAAGATTAAGAATTGAAAATAAATAAATAATTTATTGTTAAAAATAGTTTTTTTTTAAATACATTAAATTCGTATAAATCATATTATAACAATGTAACTATTTGAAAATAAAACCTCAAAAAAAATTCAACAGTTAAAAACAGTAATCTCTAAAAATTTATTATAAAATAATTTTTCAAAATTAAACAATAATAATATTTTAAAAAATAACCAGAGGAGGAAATCTCTTTTTGCATGAAAGAAAAAGAGTAAATAAATTAAATTTTATCATAAAAATAGAAATTCATATTTTCATTGAATAATTTAGATAAATCATAAAATTGTAAGGTAAGATTATTTAGAAATATTCTCTAGTAAGTTGAATAATTTTTCATGTAGTTCCACTAAATTCATTGCGTCCCAAATATGTGAAAGGTTGAGTTTTGTGTCTGTAAGCATTTGACTCAGTGAGTGGGTAAAGCGCTGAATCTGGGTTCAGCTTCAGCTTCACCATCTGCATCTATGGCTAAACCCCATCACCTCATTCTCCTCCTTCTGCTCTGTGCCACTCTACAATCTTCTCTCTCCATTGCAGCTTCACCCTCTGATCACCTCTACAACGTTGGAGATGTTGTCCCATTCTTTGTCAACAAAGTGGGACCCTTCAACAACCCAAGGTTCCATCCATTTTTCTCTTTGATTTGGTTCATGTTTATGTTCCTTGTATTTATGTTTGTACAATTTCTCTGTTGCAGTGAGACATATGAGTACTATGATTTGCCATTCTGCACCCCAGGTTAGTCACTGTTTTGGTCTTAGATTTTATCTTTGTCTCATAGTGTTGAAAAATGAAATAAAATGATCATTGGATTGTGAAAGTTGGTGTTTTTCACAGACCCAATTGTGAAAAAGAAAGAGTCCCTTGGGGAAGTTCTCAATGGTGACCGTTTGAGCAATGCTTTGTATGAGTTCAAGTTCAGGGAGGACAAGAATGGTGCGACATTGGGCCAAAAGAAGCTTACAATTGATCAAGTTGCAATCTTTAAGCAAGCTATAAACCGTGAATTTTACTTCCAGTTTTACTTGGATGATCTTCCATTCTGGGGTTTCATTGGGAAACTTGAAGAGGATGGCTTGATTCCTGGTGGGGGAGGATCAAACTATTACCTTTTTACACATGTTCTATTTGATGTTCTGTATAATGGGAACCAAGTTGTGCAAGTGAATGCTATTGGTGATCCAAATCATGCTGTAGATATAACTAACGATGTTGGTGTTAATGTTGAGTTTACTTATTCTGTTATCTGGAATGCCACTAAACTACGTTTTGAGAACAGGATGGACAGATACTCGAGGGCTTCATTGCTGCCTGTGAGTAGTCAAGTTCACTGGTTCTCATTAGTTAACTCAATTGTCATCATTTTGCTTTTGATTGGTTTGCTTGCCCTCCTTTATATGAGGCATCTGAAGAGCGATTTGAAAAAGTAACTTTCTTCTTTATTCATAATTCTATATGAGAAGAATATAAGTAGACTATCTTTATTTGTCAACCTAATGTTTTTCATTTATGATTTAGGTATTCTAATGCAAGTGAAGAAGATAAGGAGGTTGGTTGGAAGTCCATCCATGGTGATGTACTCAGACCCCCTCCAAACTCATCATTACTTTTTGCTGTTGTGGGAACTGGTACCCAATTGCTAATCTTGTAAGCTACTTGTGTTTGAAATACATAATCCTCAATCCTCTCCCCAAAAGCCACATATTCAGCCTCTATTCTTTACATTGCAATGTCTTGACTACAGTGTATGAAGGTGTATGATGTATAGCTTCATCTATGCATCAACCAACCTAGGTTTTTAATCAAATCCTTTAGCAATCTGAACTTATACTATCAACTTCAAGTCATATAGCCAAGGCTAAAAGCCTAAAACTACTCTCCTACAGTCCTACCACCTGATTTCTGCTTTTTCTGGTCTGATCTCATGCACGGCTATGTTTTATGTGTATGGTGTGGATCATACTTCCTTCTGATTCTCTGTGTAAAAATTTTTAAACTAAGCAGAGCCAGACTCTGTTTACTTATTTTGTTATGAAGTCAATAAATTCACTTGTGGAGGTTATCAGGTATCTCTATTTGTGAAACCTTTCGTAGATTGTTTTCTATCCTTATTCTTGCAACCTTTGTAGTAACTAAATACATCTTTGCAATGGACATGGTTTCTTTTAAATAATTGTATATTTGTACATCATGATTCTATCAAAATTCAAAGGCTGTATCTGTTCTGTTCTCACTCTTGATCATACTGCCATGTCACTAAACTTCTCGACTTTTAACTTCTATAATGTGCCATTTCCTTCAGGCTTTGTGTCTTGCTGTTTCTTGCACTTATTGGCACCCTATATCCCTACAATCGTGGAGGACTGTTAAATTGGCTTGTCATCCTATATGCTCTTACCTCTGTTTTTTCTGGGTACACAGCAGCATCCTTCCATGGCCAGTTTGCCGAGATTGGATGGGTAATTCTTTGTTTCTATATGTAATTTTATGAGGAAAAAAATGTTTCATTTTTAACTTTATTAACTACCTATAACCATTATTTGCTTTCATTATAATTCCAGGAAAGGAGTGTTAGTCTGGCCGGGATTCTTTACACCGGACCAGTGTTTGTTGCAGCTTCTATCCTCAACATTATTGCAATATCATACAGGGCTACAGCTGGACTCCCAGTGGGTTCTATTGTTGTGATTCTTATATTATTCACATTTCTTTCCGTCCCATTGCTTGCATTTGGTGGAGTGCTTGGATTCCGTTTTAGATCTAAATTGCAGAGTCCCTCTTCTACAAAGAGATATCCAAGAGATATTCAGCAGCTTGCTTGGTATTGGAGAACACCATTTCAAATGTTTATTGGGGGTCTTGTTCCTTTTAGTGCAATTGTCCTGCAATTACATCAGGTGTATGCTAGTATGTGGGGCTACAAAATATACACTCTTCCTAGCATTTTGTTTGCCACATTCATCACTGCCGTTGTGATCATTGCACTTGTCAATATTGGCTTGACATACATTCAGCTATCTGTGGAAGACCATGAGTGGTGGTGGAGGTATGTTCTGTTGCTGACATCAATAGTTGCTGCTTGCTTCAGTTTAATGTTATTTTTCCTCTTCCCCTCCCTTCTCCCTCTTTTGTTTATGGGCCCACGCAATATTTGATCATTGATATGCATGACATGCTAAGTGAAATCAATGTGGTGATGATTGAGCTTAGATGTAATAAATTTATAAAATCTGATATCAAGTATCTCCAAATAAAACTAATAAATAATGTATATAATTGATCCTCAGTGTTTATGATTTGTTCTGATATTGAAACTCATATCCATCTCACATAAACAAAGATAGAGATATAATGTGAATTTTTTTTAACAACCTTCGACATAGGTGACAGGGTTAGATGAAATAGCCATATTGAACAGCCATCACTACTGGGGAAAAGAGCATCAGGAAATGTTTGTGTTATGATCAATTCAAATACGTTTAATTGCTTCAATGCTTTTAAAAGAAAAGGAATAAAGCTGCCTTGTCGATTCCTAGTTTCGTTATTTACTTCTTTCTTTATTTGGTTTTTCCTTTCTAGTCTTAGTGTACCTTATCTGCATCCCTAATGCACTTTCATTTCTCCTCCTACACTTCTTTTTTCTTATAGAAAAAATTTGGATGGTTTGTTTCATATTAAAATTGTGGAAATAAAGCAAAAAACTTTTGTAATGTTCATATATTATATGATGTTTCCATAAGAAATTTTGGAGAACGCTAGGCACCTTTACTGGCTTTGTCACTAATGTTTTTTCATTGTTGGGTGCAGATCTGTGCTATGTGGTGGCTCAACAGCCATTTTCATGTTCGGGTATTGTATCTACTTTTATGTGAGATCAAATATGACTGGATTGTTGCAGGTGTCCTTCTTCATTGGCTATAATGCATGCTTATGCTATGCTTTCTTCCTTATATTTGGTGCCATCAGTTTCCAAGTTTCATTGCTATTTATTCGCCGGATATACCATGATGTTAAAAGAGAGTGAGTCCCTTATCTCAGAGGCACAAAGCAATGAGGTTATAGAATTGATAAAGTTTCCTTCACTAAGTGAACTCTACACACAGTGTGATATAAAGGGTATCCCCTCCTTGAGTTCCTTTGCAAGGACATTTGTGCAGAAATTGTATCCTTTAGTTTATTTTTCTCTAGATTGAATCCATCTTTGCACATTTGAAAGAGGCTTCTTGCTGGCACATTTTAGCTTGGGAGTGGAATGATGGAGGATATGTTGAAAATGAGGTGTGAATTCCTAAGGAGGATTATGTTCCTGAGTTGTGAGTAACTTTCTTTTCGGATGTTACTTTTATATGGAACAGTTCGATTTTTTTTTTTCTTATTCATTAATATTTACGTGTCCCTACTTTTTCTTCTTGAGAGTATACCATGCCGACCAGGGTGAGTGGCGATGCACAATGATGTATTGCAAGTATAAGATAATTTTCAAATTGATGTCAGAAGTTTTATTAGAAAATTCTAAAGTATAAAATTGAACCAAACGAATTAATTTCTTTTTATCAAATTTAAAACATGCATCTCTTCATGTTACACAGAAGCAACTCGGTATCTATTTCTGTAATATGTAAAGATGGGGGATAAAAAAATTGAGTGATATTAAAAATAAAAGTATGAGATATTGGAGACAATTAAGGTACCCAATACATGTAATACTAAGAATAAAAATAAACTTCTTATGGTAGTACTTGCCATCGCAAGTCAATAGGTTGGTCCATCCCTACATGGAAGCTTGAACTTTGAAACCAAATTGTTCCATTTTTAAGTCAGATTTTGATATATCACTGTTTGGATATCTTGTTTTAGAGGCAATAAACGTGATAATGTTGAAGAAATTATCTAGAAACCAGATGACTGTATTTGTATTAATTGTAAAAAATATTTTTTTTATAATTATAAAAAATTATAAAATATGTAATTTTTGAATGTGTTAAGTAAAAAAAATATACGACAATTTATTTTGTTTAATTTGTCTAAGAATTTTTTTTTTATAGTAAAACTACAAAAGAAAATGATAAAATTACAGGTAATAGTTGGATTTTTATTTAAAACAAAAGATCATTGAGATAAATTAATAAAAGTTAGATAAAAAGTAATATAAATGCCCATAACAAATATTAATTCTCGTACAAAGATTGATTTTTTAAACACATCCTAAATATGTTTAACGGTTCAAAATTAATTTTATCAGAACCAATTCTACTCAAATTTAAAACAAACAAGCCCTCTTAAGTTTTGACGATTCTTTATTAGTAAATTTTATTTAATCCAACAAGAAAAAAAGTACCAATAATAAATAATAAAAATCCTGAGGATAATGCACAGGGAACCTACCTAGCAAAATGAATCCAATTGATTTACGAAATCAAAATAATAAACCAAACTATAAAACCACGGATGATGCATCTCTCAAGAACCAGTTAATAGGGGCTGCAATTACGTAGTAGAGCACTAAAGTTGAAAAGCATTATTTACATGAGAAATGCAAGACTCTCAGCAGAGAGCAGAGGTAGCATTATTTACATGAGAAATGCAAAACTACTATATATGTGTGTGTGTGATAGGGTCCAGGACCCTTTAGTTGTAGGTCAATGTCTCAATTACCAACCCAGTTATTGGGCGGTTCACTGTAGAAGGGGACGTGTCAACTGTTCATTAGTTTTTTGGCAGTCTTCTCTGAGTAGCCTAGCTCTGGGACACCTTGAGAGTGTACAAAACCATTCTTTTTTTCAAATAAAGAAAATTCTTTCTTGTTCTGTCTTGAGTTCCTATCAGTGTGTGTAAAAATTAGAGTGTGGTGGAAGCTCTTGACTTCTGAATCTTATCATCCTCTGAAGGAGGCGATGACAATGATGCGTGGTAAGACGAGGAAATGAGTTGTGCAAAAGCAGGAACAGCTCCACCTGCAGTTATTATAATGACATTGTTATCACCAAAGCAACACAGTAAATCTCTCACCTGGATAAGGACACTTAGGAGCATCAATAGAAGATAGCACACAAACACAAAAAAACTGTCATCAGGATTAGTACTTTGTGTATTTGTGGAACTTATTATCCTACCAAGACAGGCATTGCTCAAGCTTAAAACTAAAGACCGTGAGTGTGTTTGAACATATAGTTTATTTAAGTATTTATTTAACAAGCTCTTTTTAAATGATGACTTATGTTATAAATTTAACAATGAAAATTAATGAAATAAGTTGAAAACAACTTATTTTGATAAGCTATACGAAAAAGCTTATTGAAATAAACTAAAAAGAGCCTATGAGAGTTATAAGCAGTTTCCATAAGCTTTTTCTAAACAGGCCTCGTATAAATATATTTATATAATATATTATATAAATATATTATATAATATAAGCCAAGCAAAATAAGAAATAACACAATTAGATATTCACCTGCCAGTCCTGCACAGGCTGAAGAGAATACCATCACAGGTGGTGTCTGAAATCAAAGGGGGATCAGTCAGTGCGATGGTACCAACTAATAAGCGTTAACTTAAATAAAAAGGCAGAAAGTTTCTGCTGGCATTAGTGAAAGTTCTATAATGCTTGAATAACTATGAACTCAATTTCAGATACTCAAATATGCAAAAGATATCCCATATAAACCAACATGAACAAGGCCGCATAATAAAAGAACAAATGAGACTATAATAAAAATATATAATGGGTGCAAGCAACTTCAATAGTATAGACTACCCAATTAAACCAAGAAGAAATGAGTCCAGCAGAAGGATAAATTTAGAGACACCCTCAATTCACAGGTGATAGAAAAGCATGAAAATGTCATGGAGAAACCAACCAATGATTTATGCATCAAAACAGGGCTTATCCAAGAGAAAACAAGTATGATATGATGGTTTAAGACGGCAGAGAGAGCATTTTGGTATTTTTTAAGACATGACTAGCATTTCTTCAAGGAAAAACTTTCAAAGGCCAAAACCCTCCCCCCAAGTCCAAACAAAAGAATAAAACAAAGATGTGTTCCTTTTTGCAAGTGGAAATCAATATATCAATGACTATACCAAATATAGCATGGAAGTATTTATGCAGTAATCATGACCAGAATAAACTGATATGCACAAGAAGTTCTTCCATTTAAAGTTCTATTATAGTATCGCAATTCTTTTACAGATTATAGAACCAGATACAAGCCAGGTTACTTCAAGCACGGGTTAACGAAGTTAACTGACTTTATATGTAAAGGTATCTCTAGGTCACGGGAACTGTTCTCTTGTCTTGACATCATAGGAATGGTTGCAGTGCCCCTTTAACCCTCAAAGGATATTATAGACATGCAAAAACTATTTCACTACCTGATAATTATTTCAGGGAAGAAATGGTTTTCTATTGCAGTTGCACACTCAAAGATTTACATTTAATTTCCCAACAAAAATATTGCATCAAATTTTTCCATTGATTTGGAGGAAAATACTAAGGGACTTCAGATGTAGAAAAAAATGTCTCCAAGAAGAGATTTTATTCAAAGAAGATGAACAAGTAAATCTCCTAGACCACATATAGTTAAATGCTACAACATGATAACATAAACTGTTTAGGATGCTTAATATATAATAGTTAAAACTAATCAAAGATGTACCCTCCAAAAAAACATTAAACATGAGGAACATATAAATAAGTGAAAAGATAAAATTTAAAAAGAAAAAACATCAAGCAGGAGAACTGCAGAAACTAATAAAATGAATAAACACTAAAATAAAATTAGAAGGAAGGGGATCAAAAGACACAAGAAACTTACAGCAATGAGAAAATGTAACCACATAGGTCCTTTTACGTTTTTCCGAACAACTGGCATAACTGCATTACAATTGAAAAAAAAATCCCTTTGAATAGTAGTCTTAGTAGTTAATATTAAACATTAAAGCTTCATTCTTTCAGTTTGGAACATGAAGAGCTCTGCAATTACAAGTACAAATCAATCAAACTTACACATTCCCATCTATCTTGTTACTGATTGCCCTGAATCCCCAACTCAAGTTTGAACGACAGTATTTTGAGATATTTAAACAAAAAAAAAAAAAAAAAAACAACGAGCTAAATTAACACACTACTAACTAATATCAGTCGATTCATGAAGGTGGAACACTATTTACAATCATATTTTTTTATTTACTGAACATAAATTACCCTTCAGAGCACAACAGCAAGCTACCATATTGAGCTTATACATCATATAATACATATTCAATACAAACACAAATAAAATTGAAATAAAGTACATACCATGATTGAATCCATAAAATGCACTTGTAGTGCCACCAACAGCAGAACCAATCTGCACAAAATTAAAATCCCACGATTAAAAATAAATAAATCCAGAAACACATTTTAAAAAATCAAACAAATTCCATCGTCCATGACAAGATTAGATCCAAAGCTCAACAACCAAATATCAAAACACGCAAAAAGCTTGAATTTTGAGAATAAAAAAGGAAGTGGGGTGTGAAGAATTACCATTGAAAAGCTATCCCTGACGAGTGGAGGAATGTTCCAGTTACTGGTTTCCTGAAGAAAATTGGTTAGAAGAAAGTAAGAAAGCGAAAGAGAGAGAGAGAGAGAGAGAAGAAAATGAATTGAGGGCAAGTGTTGAAAACCATGTTCTTTGAAAGGGGTCCTGCACAGTGATGGCATCGAATGGAACCGTCACTATGGTTCGTGCCTGCCATGTTGCTCTGCTTTGCCACAATGGTTCGGTTATGTTGCATTGCAGAAACTAGAAACAATACCTTTCTCAAATTCAATTTGGCTTAGTTAATCCAAGGTTAAATAACATTAAATATACATTGTGTTGAATATTTTTAGTTATTTTAAAATATATATTAAATTATTTTTTGTTTTAAACATGATAAATACTTTTTTTAAATGTTTAATCTGTTTCTTTTAGATAATGATTAGCATAATTAAACTGAAATTAGGATTAAGGGTATCATATCTAAAATCTTTCGTTAGTTTTCAGTTTTTAATCCTTATCATTGTTTTCTCTTCAAAATAAGTGCGTATCTTTATTTTCATCGTGTAACGGAAAAAGGAAAGGCTATTATATAGGAAACATCACATTACACGTTAGGAGAAATAGAATAGATTAAGAAAATGATTATTTAAATTTCATACATAAAAATTGATATAATTAAATTTTTTCACACATTGTATAAATATTATTTAATTAATATATTTTTAAATAATTAATTCAAAAATATTTTATAACTATTTTAAATTTAATAAATTTAAAATAATTAAATATTATAATCATAAATAATAAATATTATATTAAATTAAAAATAAATTACAAAAAATAAAACTTCAAATTTATATTAATTAAGAATAAATATTTAATGTAAAAATATTTGACACGATAAGGAAAGACATCTAACTCTTTAGAATATTTTTGTCTTAAAAAAATTAAAATCACTTTCACTTAAAAGTATTTTATCTAAAATTTTTTGTTTAGTATTAAATGAGTGAATTTATGTATAGGCCTTTATTAAAAAATATAAATAAAAATGAACAAAAATTATTTTATAAATTAAAATAAACTTATATTTTTCATCTTTTAAAACTTTTATTTATAATTTTTTTAAACTTAAAAAATAAATATTTTTAATTTATAAAAAAAATTATTTTTATATTATTTTTCTCTTACAATAACTTATCCATAAACTTACCCAAAACATTCATCCTTATCTTTTTCATTAGCAGTGCTTTGTATTCAAAGTAAGTGATTATCTCCACAGCAGAAAAAAAAAAACGAAAAAAAAAGAAGGAAGTGCTTATCTTTATTTTCATCAAGTAAAAATAAAATAAAATTATAGTATAAGAATCGTGACACAAGATAGAATAGATTAAGAAAATAAGAGTTTGTTTCATTTAGTTTTGATTTTTATTTTTTAAAAATTATATTTTAAATTTTTTATAACTGTTTTTTAAAAATAAAATAAAATAAATTTTGTTTGATAATTTAGTTTTTAAAACCGTTCTTAGTTAGACTTTTATTAGTTTTAGAAAAAAAAACATAAAAATAAAAATAAAAATAAAAAACCTAAATAGCAATTTTATTTTTCAGTTTTAAAAACTAAAAATAAAAATTAATTTTCAAAAATAGTTTTTAAAACTTACATTAACAAATAAATTTTTTTATTTTTTAATTTTAAAAACTAAAAATTCTATTTAAAAAGAGAAAACAAACAAACACTATATTATATTTAGAAAAAAAAAATATAAAACTCTTTTTAAAAAAGAAATCAAACATACCCTAAGTATTCAAATTTAATATACAAGAATTGATATAATAAATTAATTTTTATATTTAAATTAGATTTTTAAATTAATTTTATGGGTTTTGTCTCTTTTATTAAAAAGTAAAAATATATTAATAATTAATTATCAAACAAATTATAAACCTGTTTTACAAATGCATATATTTAGTTATCAAAAAGTCAAAATAGACGGGTTTAGGCTTTTTTAATTAATTTTATGGGTTTTGTCCTTTTTATTAAAAAGTCAAAATATATTAATAATTAATTATCAAACAAATTATAAACCTGTTTTACAAATGCCTATGTTTTTTTGGAAAATATTTAGGAAAAAGATACAAAAGTTAAATAGAAAATTGTACTTTATAAAGATAAGAATAAAGGTTTTAGGAGTAAGGTTTTAAATTTTAAAAAGCGGTCCCCAAAAAAGAAAAATATCGATGCCGTGAGAAAAATCTAGAATCAAGAAAAATAAAATATCATAGCTTTGCACCTAACAACGTTGTCATTAATTTGGATATAACTTGTAAATAGAAGAAAGGAGTAATACCAAATCTTACCTTACACAAATTTAATTTATTTTTCATTTTCCAGACGTATAATATAGAAAATAAAAAATATTAATTAATATTATATTAATTTTTTAAATTGACAAATAATTCAAACAAAATCTTCTTTATAATTAAGTAAACATATAAATTTAAAAAAAACTATGTTAAGATTTTGTATTCAATAATTAAATAAAAGTTTTGTTAACATAAGACCAATTAATAATAATAAAATTTTATTAGAAAGAGAAATATTTATTATATTTTTATAACTTTAATATAATAACTGTATATTTTTTTTATAATTTTTTATTTATAAATACTTAAATTCAGCCCTTAAAATTAAAGTTAATAAAACTCATTAAATAATTATATCTCATCAGGGTATTGTATTTAATTGAGATTTTTTTTTATCTCAGATTCATACTCAGTTAATAATTTTTGTTTGATTAAAATTTATCTAAATTTTTTTTTATATTTAAGATATTTACATCCTTTAAATATACATCTTGTGTCATGAAGACTTCTGACATAATTAATAATACTGTGATTTTGGCTTCTTTAGAGAATATATAAAATTCGAGTAGGAAGAGCATTTTAGATAAATATGACAATTTAATTCAAGTTTAATATATAGTTACCAAAAAAAATATTAAGGAGAAAAGGTTATTAATTAAATATGTCTAAGTTAAAAAATATTTTATTTATTTATTTTTTGAACAAAGATGGGGGAGTGGCAACCTAGTTTGGCCCAGGACTGCCCTTGAATGCCACTTGCTGGAGTATAACTCATTTTTTAACATGGAATTGTATTCTTCCCTGTGGGGTATATTGATCAGTACATTTTTAAAAAAATGTCCTTAAATTAATTATCTAATCAATCCAGCATAGGCCTATAAAATAATAATAGCAGGTATCAAACATAAAAATGGAATTATATTAACAAACTTGATGTAAAAACTATGTATAATGCTAATCATTATACTAAAAAAAGTATCATTCATTAAAAAAATATTAGACACTAAAGTTACATTCATTAACATAGTTTTTGCTTGATGAAAAATAAACGTGGTTAATATAAACAATTATGATCGAGTCTATACTAACAGTATACTAATACACAAGTATTTGATATGTTAAAACTATCTAATGTAATAATGTTTATAGTAATTGTTTATTTTTTAGCTAGTATTATATCAATGAATAGTGATTAATATATGATACTTTTAAGAATAAAAAATGAAGATTTAGTCAATTGAATTATTAAAACAAAAGTGGAAAAGGTAATGGAATTATCAAATTGAGGGGACAACTAAACACCATTCAATTAAGAGACCATGCTAATGTCAACCAGGTACAAAGAATTGTGGGAGAAAAGTTGAAGGGAACCTCATTTATATCTAATTAAAACATAAACAACAACTAAACATAGCAATGATATTAAGGACATGATGATATATATGAATGCTAAAAGGCATCTTATTAGATTAACTAAAAGGATATATAGGTGGGGAATGAGAATCCATTTTTGGTGGCTTTCCGAGAAGAAGAATAACCAAATTCTTTACTTGAGAATATGATTTATGGGCATTACTCTGGGTAAAGATTCTCATGTTCTCATTGCAAAGAATCTTTGAAACTTTCTTTTTCCCCACTTTTATTTTTCCCTTTTTTCTTTTCCCCGTGAGGAATAGCATTCCGTGGTCATTTCTCGCTTTGCATTTCAACTAACGCCATCATGTTTGCTCAACCAAATCGCAGTATAGATATGTGTAACCATCTTAGTTTTTTTAATATAATATGATTGACCACTTGTCTATTATATAGTTTATTCGCATTTGTCCTTTGTTTCTCATTTATAGTTTTCTTACTGCACTCAAAAGTTGGATCTATCATTCTATCTATGTTAATATAACATCTGTGAAAAAAATAATAAAAAGGAAATGTAAGTACGATTAGGAATAAGAATGTATGTCCCCTGTCAAACTTGAGATATCGATTTGAAGTGCATGTAAGTTGTTTTACGTACAAGATCTAAATTCTTAAAAATTGTCTCATTTTATCATAAATATAAAATGAGAACCCAAATTTGTAAGAAACATCTCATAAATATCATAAATATATGAGAACTTGACCATAAAAAATATGATAAATATCTTAAACTGAACAATAAAAGAGAAGTCGTGGACGTATAAACCGTAGCATATACCTTTATAGTTATACTATTAAACCAGCAATCTCTGTGGGAACATAAAATTCTTTTTAGATTTAATATTTTCATTCAATCAGAACTTGGGTATTTTTTTAATTATGTGTTGAATTGCAAAGTTTAGAACTAAACTTATTGTAAATTACTTGATGAGAAACTAACAACTGTCTTATGAGGATATTAAAAGGCACTTGACAGTTGTTTTAATACTGATGTGAATTTAGTTGAAATAATAACACTTGTTGAAGTAACATTTGTGCAACTCACGCTTATAATAAGCTTATTCGCGTTTTAGAAACTACATCTTATCATAATCAGGACAGATTCAATAGTATTAAAGTACTAATATATATATATATATATATATATATATATATATATAATATTATAATGCTTTATTTAATATTTTATTTATCCTTATATTGTCACAGAAATATACGGCAATTACTTTTTATTATATTAAAAAATTACTTTCAAATTTGATTAAAATTATTTTAATGTTACTTAGTTTTATATTTTATAAAACTTCTCCAAAATATGAAAGTTTGTAAAAAATAATTATTATGTGTATTTTTACTTTTAAATATTATGTTATATTTTTAATGCTATAAAATTTGTACATATTACCCTCACAACCCAAAAATTCTGGATCCTTCAGTGATCATAAATATCATGCTGGATATTAGTCTCCAGATGCACCAATATGGGTAAAGGGAAATGAGTGCTGATATATCTACGTAGACAAATTTGATACGCATTACTAGCAGAAATATTTTCATTATCATTCATTCCTTATTCTTTTTATTATTTCCGATTTTTCCCAAATCAATCAATGGCTGTGCTTGAAAGTTTTTGATGTCTGTGAACAAAGTCATTGTGAAAGCAACATCAAAGCAAGAGCTTTCAGGGCTAAAAAGAAAATTATATGAAAGTTGTTGGTTTGTAGAAATGTATGGTTAATAATTTCGATTGCATTAAAAACATTCGGTCTTCATTGACACCGTCAAACATAACCTCTAATGATATAAAACTAAACAGTAGAGCAAACAGAACTTCATCAACTTGTAGAAGCAAGTTCTTATATTGTTATCAAGTTCCCAAATTAATGATGACATCAGGATATATATATTTTTTATAATGTTGAACAACCTCCGTTACAAATGTGTGGCAGAATTCTAAAAAAATTTCGATGTATATATTTAAATTTGAGAACTTATTAGTATAGATATAAAGAGAATTAATGATAAATAATATATAAAAATTTCATAAAAAAATTGTCACAAAATCAATTCTTATCGTTGCAGTGATAAATTTATCATATATGCCAAGTGGTAATACCAAGTCCAGCGATCTAAGGGAGCAAATTCGGTATCAGTCCTCATACTCAAATTATTCCAATCCACATGCTCGAAACCACTTAGGAACTCAGCTTTAACTTTATACAAAGTCGCTTAGAGATTCTCCTGGACGCATTAAATATTCCAAAAATCAGAATCAAGAACAAGAGCAAAGGGAAGTGATGTGAAGATACTGTTCAAGGAATCTTTGGTGTATTTATTTTTATGGTTTCTATATTTTGTCCATGAAATGTTTGTCTAATTTTGCACCTGATGAATGGGTATCAGCATATAGATACGGTTTAATTATAAATAATCTTCTACTTCTATTTGTGTCTGATGACAAGTGGTTTAGTGAGACTTTGGTCTTTTATGACACAAATTATTCCACATTAGCTTTTGATCTATGAAATATATATTTTCTAATTTAATCACTAGCACCATGCCACTTATTCTTATTGTACAATTACATATTTGGTATTTCCAATCAATTAATGCAGATTTGCATGCAGTTGACACATGCATTGCCTGGTTTTAATTAAAACTGAATCAGATTCTGACACATTCTTTAAATTTTTTTCATAGTGGATTAGTCTGGTATATGCCATGCAGATAGATTTCCTATATGGCCAAATCTACCATACATCCTATAGAAATGAGAGAGATAGGAGTAGAATAGAATAGGTTGGAGGGGAATTACACTGCGTGTACACACATATGATGATACAATTTACAAGGCTAAAAAGTAGGGCATTTCATAATACAGTTTACAAGGCTATGAAAGTGGAAACTATTTCCCAAATACTTTAGACTATATTTGGATAGGCATTAATTCAAAAGTCTTCATAGCCAGTTTCAGGCAACTAAACTAGATTTTATGAAAAAAAAAAAAACAAATAATGTTTGGTTGTCCAAAAGTAAATTACTTTTACTTTTAAAAGCACATGATACTATATATATCATAGACATTTCTCTTAATTTGTACTATAATATATTGAGAATTTTATATGACGTTTTATCATAAATTCACTTTTAAAAATAAAAGTTTTTCAGCATAAATTATTTTACTTTAAACTCATTTTTTTACTAATAATTTTTTAATTCACATATCATAAAAACTTTTATACAGGGAGATTTTGTTAAAAAGCACAACATATTACAAAATCAATACATTAATAATTTAAATACTATAACTTATTAAAAAACTGTTTTACTAAAAAATTTATTATAAAGAAAAACTAAAATCAAGTTTGAAATTAATGCTAAGCCAAATGCGCACACTAATCCCTATGAAGGCTAAGTGTATGTTTTAACATTTATCATGTGATAAACATGGACTGCGTATGGTTATTCTAATCCTAATCCTTTCTCACTAGCCAACTATCAGTCATTTTCTATCTGAGCACTTTGATATATGGAACATCATTTACGTCTAAATACATGGTTCTATCTTCATGAGCATGCATATAGTGAATAAGTGAAAGCTCAACATGGATAAGAGGATAACTAAACAAAAAATAAAAAAGCTGGCATGAGAATCTGCATTAACCAATGTACAAGTCAAGGGCAAGGTAAGTGGTCCTATGCTGCATTAAACCAAATATTGTAAGTATATAAGCAAGTACAATTCTAGCTTTTGCTTTTAATCAGGTCCCACTTGTTCATGATTCTAGAGGATGGAACTTGCATTTTTATGCCAAAGAAAGAATGAAAAATTCAGGGTCCACCCTCCTTCTATTTCAAAGGGTGGGGGCTGAATAAGTTCCAAACTTATGGAAGGAGACAAAACAGAACGTATTCTTATTCTATTCGTTACCTCCAAACAGTCCCATGCAAGCATCTTCTCACAGTTGTTCTTTCACCTTTTCTTGTATTTCAAGGTGCTCTAGTCAATGGAATCTTTTTTATAAGTTCTTCATGTACAACTAATTAACAAGTTCTTTGGCTTTTATGTATGTCTGCGTACTTCAATATACATGTTATTCAACTAAAGCATCTACCATGCAAAAAACAATATTATATACGTTGAGGACCGGTATATATATATATAATGTCATAATGATCACAAGATCGGAACAAAAACATTTAGTCCTCTAACTCATAAGAATCTTCCATGATAGAATAAAGATAAGTATGTGCTTTGCCAGTTCCAAGTCGAGAGGAATATAATATTCTCCAGAACCAAGTCAGGAAAAAAGTAAAAATAAATAAAAATCATATTTCAAATTTGGGAATATGATTCTCACTTTTGCCTGGCAAACGAATAAGCATGCACATTTGGTTAAAATCTGAAGGATCTATTCCAGAACCTAATGCAGTTAGGAGCTTTTGCTCATTAATTTTTTTGGAAGGCATAAATTTTAATTTATATACAATCATAGATATTGGTCAAATTACCGGACACTTGTAGGATGAAACAATAAGTATAAATCGTTATATATGATTGTTAGAATTTGATTATTTGAATCATTAACAATTAATAGCGTATATCATATACTATTATTTTTACTTTTTACTTTTTTTATCTTTTTTTATATTAACACATTCTAATATATATTTTAAATATAAAGAGAACACTAAAAAGGTGTCTCATTCCTGTAATACACAAAGCATTTTGGTATATATAAAGGGAAGTTGTAATGCACAGAAATTCAAATGGAATGTTTAGAACTGCCTTAGAAAAGAAAGTGGAACTAGAAAACGGGGTCCACAACCACAAGTGAGCAAAAGTAGGAAGGAACACTATCTATTTGTCAGGTCACTGTGCATAAAGGATTAAGTTCGGTTTTCCATTGGTTCCACCAAAGATTCCATGCGTTACTAGTTCCCCTCCAGCTCTCATATACATATATAACTACCTATCTAAGCATGCTTTGCACTGAAGAGAAATGTGCAGTGGAGAAACAAGAAAAGCACCATAAGTTCTCAGAGGTTAATTAACTTATTTATTACTACGTACCAAGTCTTACAATAATACTTGAAAATAGAGCATCATCAAGTGTAGCAAATTGATTTAGAAAACAAAAGCCATAAGGTAAAGGCACTATTATTCTTTAGCAAAGGTGATACTATGTTGTTTGTTTTTACATGTCATGCATGTTGCTTATATATTATAAGTGATTCTAGCAGGTGGGATTTAATGTACTATCTTCACCAACATCAAGGAAAGAACATTCATTCTTCTTCCAGAATGCCAATTCCTTCTGAAAGGCACATGTTCCTTCAAACTGGAAATGGGTCTGCAGATTCTGGACTTGTTCTATCAACGGATGCTAAGCCTAGATTGAAATGGACACCTGATCTTCATGCAAGGTTTATAGAAGCTGTGCAGCAGTTAGGTGGAGCTGACAGTGAGTACACAATATATATACACATCCACTTGTGGATCATTAGATTTTAAGGTAGATAGAATTTTTCAATTGACTTAATTCAAAAATGTATATTTTAATTATACTGCAGAGGCAACTCCAAAAACGGTGATGAAACTCATGGGAATTCCAGGGCTTACCTTGTATCATCTGAAGAGCCATCTTCAGGTAAAAATCACAAGTGTTCTATGTTATATTTATAACCCTTTAACAAGATTCATGTCATTTTATGTCTTCTATTTCATGTACGTGCATTATTTTACCATTTCTTGCATGCAAAATGAGTTCCAGTTTAGTTCTCCATCTCAAGTTGAGAGAGTTGTACTCACAACTAAACAAATAATAGTTTTTGCCATTCAAAATCTACACCAATACGATTTACCAAAAGCAAAAAATTATAAAGTGAAAAAGTAAAAGCCCCATCCATTTGGGCAGTAAAAAAGTCTAAAAAAAATACCTGAATTTTTGTCACTATAAACATATGGTAAATACTTCATTATGGAACTTCCATACTATATGAATCTTAACGTGTTTCACATCAAGATATTTATACCCAAAACGTGATCTTACTCTTCCTAGACATTATGGATACTTTCCCAAAATTACTGAGGATAATTATGAAAAAACCTCTCTTGTCTCCAAGTTTTGTGAGTCTTGTACATATAACATGTTATTGCTAAAGTATATTTCATATAGCTGCTAAATTTTCGTTTCTGCTGATTCATTAGATAGAGCTGCTAAATTTTTCTATGCAAAGGAAAAGATACTTTCATATATAATGTACACAGAGCTACAAGCCCAGGGCCAGCATAATTTCCTGACCTTGATTTGTTTGGTGCAATTATTAATCCTTTCCTTTTTGTCACCAGAAGTACAGATTGAGCAAGAATTTGCACGGACAAAGTAACAATGTGACACACAAAATAAGTAAGAAAACAATCTCTTTCATTATGTCTAAAATACTTATGAACCATAAAGCTTTGTTTATAACAACAAACTTACCTTATGATCCATAAATCCAGATGCGGCAACAGATGAAAGACTACCCGAAAACAATGGAACTCATATGAACAATTTAAACCTTCCCCCTCAGTCTAACAAGTAAGAAACTTGCCACACATGCTTGGTTATAGCATAAACATTCTATCACTAAAGGTTTTATATTTAACATTCATTGTCTCTTGGGGCAGAGATTTACACATAAGTGAGGCGCTGCAGATGCAAATAGAGGTTCAAAGAAGGCTAAATGAGCAACTTGAGGTGTGTAATACCAACTTGCCATTACCATGCATGCATTATCATCCCATCAATTAAACCACTGAATCAAACAATAGACACGTGAAACTTCAGCTTTTTGACACTTCTAAAAGTCTTCATGAATTCTAACAATACCCTTCCATATAGGTGCAAAGACTCCTTCAGCTCCGGATAGAGGCTCAAGGAAAATACCTTCAGTCTGTGTTAGAAAAAGCTCAGGAAACACTTGGTAGACAGAATATGGGAGTAGTAGGACTTGAAGATGCTAAAGTTCAACTCTCAGAGCTAGTGTCCAAAGTGTCTTCTCAGTGCCTGAATTCAGCATTTTCTGAGCTGAAGGAGTTAAAAGGAATTACCCCTCAGCAAACACAAACCAACCAGCCAAATGACTGTTCTATGGATAGTTGCCTCACATCCTGTGAAGGACCACAAAAAGAACAAGAGATACAAAATGGTGGCATTAGCTTAAGACCCTTCAATCTTAACCTACGAAGCTGTGACCTCAAGTGGTGTGATACAATGAAAAACACCAACTTTCTTACCCCATTGGAAAAGAATGCAGAAAGAAGAAGCTACGTTTCCGAAAGAAGTCCAAGCAACTTGTCAATGAGCATTGGACTTGAAGGAGAATCAGAGAATGGCAACATGATGTTTTCTGAGAGAACAATCATTGGTGAATTCCAACAAAGAAACACCATTGGAACAGAATCAAAGAAACCAGTGGCTGATAATAAAATTTCTCAAGATTATAGATTGCCCTCTTACTTTGCAGGATCAAAACTGAACCTAACAGCCACTGAAGATAATGACACTACAACAAATTGTAAACAACTGGACTTGAATGGATTCAGTTGGAACTGAGAAGAGAAATAGAGAATAGACAAAGCAAGTTCAGAAAACATTGTATCACTGCAACATCTATCTGCTGCTGTTTCATTGAAAAAATGTGAGGTATTTTAATTAGTAGAATGCCAAGTTGCAACAAACAGCGATCAATGATCAATTTGTAAGCAATAGCCATCATAACGATGAATATAACTCTGGCGAAACATCGTTCTATTCTATGCTTATTCAAAGTTTAAGACATGCTAGCCTGATATATATTTGACATATGTCACATGTTAGTAACAGGCATTGTGCTTGTGTGAATAGTCGATCCTATTAAATACAAGTTATTTTATTTTTATACATACTTTTTTATAAATCTTGTTACACTTTGTTTAATTGTTTTTATTGCATTAATCATAGCAAACAGGTTCTTGATCAGTGCCACGAGCCCACAAATAATTACAGGCCTTCTATATATATCTCAAAATGTGTGCCGAAATGTATAAATAACAAACCTATCGAACACTTACACTTTGTTTAGAATCAATGATTTGGTAAGAAAAGAAAATGGAAAGACTATTTAAAAGGGAAAGTGTGATTTTCACTTGTTTATTTAAATGATTTGTTTTCTAATAAAAAGAAAGAAAAAAGGGTCCCACAAAAATAAAATCACCTTTCTATTACCATGCCATGAATTTTGTTACAATAAAGTGATGAAATCAATGGGGGAGTGCTAATGTGGGTCAATGGGTGTTTTTCCGTTAATTTACTTCTATATTAATTATCATTTTATATATATTAAATTTTTAAAATAATATTTATTAGCAAAAAAATTATAATATAATTTAATATAAATTTTTCACCTTATTTTTCACTCGTCTAAATAATAGGAGCATAATTTTTTTTATCTCCTATTTTTTATCATCCAAAAAATACATACTTTTCACTCTATTTTTATCCTAATTTCATACTCTTATTTTCTATTTCTTTATATTTTTCCTCAATATTTCACTTTTAAAAATTCTAAAGCATTTAATAATGTGCATATATTAATTCTATAAATTATTGATGTTTACAATTAATGCACATTGATTAAAAAAATTAATTAATATAAAATATTATTTTATATTAATTAAAATATCCTCATTTAATCCTATCTTTTTTTAATACTTCTTTTAAAAGAAATTAGTGAAATATATCAAATTATAAACACACACACACATATATATATATATTGATTAAAAATAATAGAACTCTTGTAATAGATTTATTCTATTTAATATTGTTGAAGAATTAAAACCTTTCTTATTTATAATAATATAAAATTTAAGTAACAGTTCATACAAAAAATAATATGTATAAAATAAAAAAATTATATTTTAATTTAATTAAATAACTTAAAATAAATTAATCTAATATGAATTATATTACTGTTAAACATGTGAATCAACTGATCTATAGTTATTTTAATATAATTTATAGTTCTGAATTTGAGTCTTAAAAAATTAATTATATTAAATATTTAAAGAGGATTTTATCTAATTTAAAAAAATTAACTTGAATAAATAATATATGTAGTTTAAAAATAAGTTAATCAAATCATTTTTTGAATTAATTTAAAAATAACTAAACTAAATCGAACCAATCTAATTCAATTAAATTTGATTTGTTTAAATTTTATTTTATTTAAACCTGAATAAAATCAACTCGTAAATGTCCCTTACAAAAATTTATTAAAATAAATTTATAATTAAATAATTAATAAAAAATGCATTGATATGTTAGTTGTTAAATTATTAAATATTTTTATTTAAAAAAATCAATAATACAATTTAACATATCTTTAATATATATAAAAATATATGATAATAATTTATATATAATAATTTTTTATTAAAAAACATTACAAAAATCAATGTATTAATAACACTAAATATTATAAATTTTAATAAAAATATTTTTTTAATTAACACTCACTTAAATATGCATGAATAATCAGTTATTTATTAATTGGCAAAATTTATATATAAAAAAAAATGTTAAGAAAATAACGGTGGGTACTTCGAAACGTGAGCAGGACAAGTGGATTTGTGGAGCGACATATACAATATTTTTATATGATCTATTTGTTTTAATAATTAATGAACTTTACATAATATTAAATATTTAATATTTAAAAATAATTTTTACTAAAAGTTATATTATAAAAAAATTTGAATCAATTATTTATATATGTTAATTATAAATAATTGGTGATTTTTTCTCTCACCCAAATAATATTTTTGGTCTATTTTTATCCTATTTTTTATACTCTTATTTTTTATTTTTCTCAAATTTTTATTTTAAAAAATAAATTAATTAATAACATATATTTATTAATTTTTTCTGAGTCTCTTCCTTGCATTGTCATACCCTCTGTCAGCATCCACTAATTTAGAACTTAATTTGACGACTTCGACCCGACTAATAACCAACAAACGGAAGTGCTCTTCTTGTATAGACCCTATTATAAATTATTGATGTTTACAATTAAATCACGTTGATTAAAAAATTTAATTAATATAAAACATTATTCTATCCTAATTAATGTTAGAAAGTAAGCCAAAAAAATAGGCTATTCTGTTTTTTTTCTGTTGTATGCCATTAGCTGTCTAGCTATAAAAGCTGATACATTTCCTGTAATGAAATATGACATACAAGTTTTCTCCTCTGTTTCACTGTATCTCTTTCTCTATGAGTTTTATGTTCCTTTATGGTATCTAGAGCAAGGTTCGTGTAAAGTGGCCTGTGAAAAAGTGGTGATAGAATTAGAAGGGTTGTAAAGTGTGTTGAAGACTGTCTTGATTCTTCAAGATCGTGTGTATTGGGAATTAAGCATAGTTTGAAGATCCTGTGAAGATTCTTTCATCAGAAGACAGGAGGATGGCTGGAAATGGTAGTATTATCCAAGGGGCTCTACCCGTTTTCGATGGGAAGATGTTTGATGATTGGCGAATCAAGATGATGGCCATATTTGGATTTCAAGATGTCTCAGATGTGATAATGGGTGGTCTTGAAGATCTTGGGAAGAAAGCTAGTGAAGAAGAGAGAAAGAATTACAAGAATCAGCAGAAACTTGATAGTAAAGCCAGGTTTCTACTGTATCAATGTGTAAGTCCGAGAATCTTTAACAAGATATCGAGGGCAACAACTGCCAAAGAAGCATGGGAGATTCTTGTCAAGACATATGGAGATGATGACAAGAATAAGAAGGTGAGACTGCATACGCTGAGAAGAAAATTTGAGCTTCTAATGATGGAGGAAAATGAGTCTATTGCAGAATATTTTGACAAAGTTCAGGAACTTGTTAATGCCATGCGGGCATGCAAGGATACTATCACAGATCAATCAGTGGTTGACAAGATATTAAGAACTTTACCTGACCGATTTGATCACTTAGTGGTTACAATTGAAGAAACACGTGATCTTGATTCAATGGATTTAGAAGACCTGCAGCATTCGCTCGAAGCTCATGAGTGTAGAATAAATGAAAGGAAAAAAGTTCAAGAATTGCCTCTTCAGGCAAGAACTGGCTATAAAAACAAGAGTAAAAATTTTGGCCAGAAGACAGACAGAAAATATGTGACTGATAAGGGAAAGTTGAAGTTAGCAGGTGAATCCAAGGAAGGCAATCAAGAAGAAACTTCGTCTGGTGATGAAAAGAAAGAATGGAGGTTTGATAAAAAAAAGGTGAGGTGTTATAAGTGCCAAAAGATGGGGCATTTTGCTCGTGAATGTCAAAATGGTAATGGAGTGAAGGGTAAGAAGAGTCAAGCACATCTTGCTAAAGAAGAAGAGACGTCCGATTCTGAAGCTGTAACATTGATGGCACAAACTGATGCAGTAAGCAATGATGAATCTTCTTGGTATCTTGATTCAGGATGTTCAACTCATATGATCGGGAGAAAGGATTGGTTTGTAAAAATTCAAGAAACACCATCACATGGAAAAATCAGGTTTGCTGATAATAGCAGTCTGACAGCAGAAGGCGTTGGAAGAGTTGTGCTACGGGATCTTGATGGAAGAGAAATTGTGGTTGAAAATGTGCTATATGTGCCTGGTTTGAAGACTAATTTGATGAGTCTTGGGCAGCTTCTTGAGAAAGGTTTTACAATGAAGATGGAGGATAACAATTTTAGTGTTTTTGATCAAAACAAGAGGGCTGTGATACAAGCTAAATTGTCACAGAATCAGACTTTTCAGATTGCAATGAAGACGATGAAGCATCAGTGTTTCTCTGCCTCAGAGGGGAAAATTGAATGGGTATGGCATCAGCGATTCTGTCATTTAAACTTCAGAGATTTACATCAGCTAGGAAAAAATCAAATTGTTTCTGGACTTCCTAAAATCAGCATTCCAGAAGAGGTGTGCAGGGAGTGTGTGCAGTGCAAGCAAACTCGTATGAGTTTCAGCAATGCAGTATCTCTGAAAAATAGTGAGAAATTGGGACTTGTTTATTCTGATGTGTGTGGTCCCATCCAAGTTGAGACACCTGGAGGTAACAAGTATTTTTGCACTTTCATTGATGATGCCACAAGAAAAATTTGGGTTTATCCTATCAAAAGAAAAAGTGAGGTGTTTGATGTTTTTCGAAAATTCAAGAGACTTGTTGAGAAGCAGAGTGGAATGAGGCTGAAGGTGCTACGAACGGATGGAGGTGGAGAGTATGTCTCCAATAACTTCATGAAATTCTGTGAGGAAGAAGGGTTGGAACATCAAGTCACACCACCGTATACACCCCAACACAATGGCTGCACTGAAAGGAAGAATAGAAGTTTGTTAAATATGGTAAGGTGCATGCTACGTACCAAAAATCTGCCTCAATACCTATGGGGTGAAGCTGTCAGCACCGCTTCCTATGTGATGAATAGGTGTCCCACTAAGAGACTGAAGGAGTTGACACCTGAGGAAGCTTGGACAAGTGTAAAACCAAGCGTAACACACCTCAAAATTTTCGGATCTCTATGCTGGAAACGTGTACCTGATCAACAGAGGCAGAAGTTGGATGATAAAGGTATACCACAAGTGTTAGTGGGGTATCATTCAACTGGAGGTTACAGGCTTTTTGATCCAAAGACTAGACAAGTAAGTATTAGTAGAGATGTTGTTATTGATGAAACAGCAGAATGGAACTGGGAGCAGCCCGTGCCCGATAAAGCACAGTAAAAAATGTTACTTGTTGATGAGTCAGAATCAAATGAGGAAGAATGCAGTGATCAGGAGGTGAGGCGTTCATCTCGTATCAGGCAGCAACCAACACATCTCCAAGATTATGATCTTGGACATGATTCTTTGGTCTCCACCGAAGGCAATCTGATTCACTTTGCTCTTGTTGCGGAGGCTGAACCTCTCACGTTTGAAGAGGCAAAGAAAGACAGAAGATGGTGGAGTGCTATGGAGGAAGAAATCAGATCAATAGAGAAGAACAACACCTGGGAATTAGTGGATATGCCAGCTGATAAGAAACCAATTGAGTTGAAGTGGGTTTACAAGACAAAAGTGAATCTGAAAGGTGAGATAGTGAGACACAAAGCTCGTTTAGTTGCAAAAGGATACTTGCAACGAGAAGGGGTGGATTATGGAGAAGTTTTTGCCCCTGTGGCACGTATTGAAACAGTTCGTTTAGTAGTGTCAATGGCTAACCGAGAAGGTTGGAGCATGCATCAGCTAGACGTCAAATCTGCGTTTCTAAATGGATTTCTTGAGGAAGATGTTTATGTTCTGCAGCCTCAGGGATTCAAGAAGGAGAAGCATGAGCACAAGGTGTATAAACTCAAGAAGGCCTTATATGGCCTAAAACAAGCTCCAAGAGCTTGGAATAAGAGAATAGATGAATTCTTGTGTCAAGTGGGGTTTCTAAAGTGTGTATCTGAGTTTGGACTTTATATTAAGACTGTGATACATAACAAGCTAGAAGAAAAACTGATAATCTGCTTGTATGTGGATGACTTACTCGTGACAGGAAGCAGTGAGGAATTGATAAATGAGTTTAAATCTCAGATGTTATCTGAGTTTGAAATGAGCGACCTTGGAAGATTGAGTTACTTCTTGGGTATTGAGTTTGTACAAACCAAGTTTGGAATCGTTATGCATCAGACCAAATACGCATCTGATTTGCTCAAGAGATTCAACATGCTGCAGAGCAATCCTGCAGGTACACCATCAGCAATTGGTCTGCATCTTGAGCAAAATGCTGCTGAAGAACCTGTTGATCCAGCAGTCTATAGAAAGATGGTTGGAAGCTTGAGATATTTGTGTCATACCAGGCCTGACTTGAATCACAGTGTTGGGTTAATAAGTAGGTTCATGCAAGAACCCAAGCAATCACATATGACTGCTGCAAAAAGGATCTTGAGGTATTTACGTGGAACGACTGAGTTTGGAATTCTGTTTTCCAAGAACACTAACCATGAGGATATGAAGCTAATTGGTTTCTCGGACTCAGATTGGTGTGGTGATAAAGGTGATAGAAAAAGTATAGCTGGTTACATTTTCTTTATTGAAGGAGCTCCAATCAGCTGGAGTTCTAAAAAAGAGCCTGTAGTTGCTCTTTCATCTTGTGAAGCGGAATATACTGCTGCTGCTGAAGCAGCATGTCAAGCAGCATGGCTGGAGAAGTTGATGAATGAATTGAAGATTAAATTGAAGTCAAAGACAACACTTATGGTAGACAACAAATCTGCCATTGATTTGGCTAAGAATCCAATCTGTCACGGTAAAAGCAAGCATATTGAAACTCGGTTTCATTTCTTGCGTGATCAAGTTAATCAAGGAAAGCTGAATGTTGATTTTTGCAAGTCAGAATTTCAGCTTGCAGATATCTTTACAAAAGCTTTGAAATATGAAAGGTTTAAGTGCCTGAGAGAATCTATTGGAGTTGTTTGTATGAAAATGTTTTTGGCTTAGGGAGGTGTGTTAGAAAGTAAGCCAAAAAAATAGGCTATTCTGTTTTTTTTTTTTGTATGCTATTAGCTGTCTAGCTATAAAAGCTGATACATTTCCTGTAATGAAATATGACATACAAGTTTTCTCCTCTGTTTCACTGTATCTCTTTCTCTATGAGTTTTATGTTCCTTTAATTAAAATATCATGATTTAATCCTCTTATTTTTTTAATTATTTTTGAAAGAAAATTAATGAAATATATACAATTATAATTATAAAAATAGCTATATATTGATTAAAATAATATAAATCTTGCAATTAAATTTATTTCTATTTAGAATTGTTGAATAATTAAAACCTTTAGTAATTTATAGTAATATGAAATTTAGGTAACAGTTCATGTAATAAATAATATGTAAAAATAAACATTCAAAATAAAATAATATATATTTTTAGTTCAATTCAGTAATTTAAACTAAATCTATTTTTAATTTGGTGTTTGAGTTTTTAAAAAATAATTATGTTAAATATTCAAATTAAACCAAATTAATGCAAAGTGGTATCTTTTAAACATTTAATAATATTATATTCATTGAAACTCAAATTTAAAATTATATAAAATTACATTAATTTTTATCAATTAATTTACATATTTAATAATAAATATATACTATAAATTTTTTTGTAAAGGGACAATTTTAATTACCTTCCAAAACTCGTATAAAAGACCATATTTTAACTTATTTTTGGAGTAAAATTACTCATTGCTTGAATATACAGATGTTATTTTTTTAATTCTAAATATTTAGTTTTAGTTTCACTTATTTTTGGAGGTGCTTAAAAAAAATGTGTTAAAATGTGTTAAATTAATTAAATTTGATTATATATATATAAAGAGAAACTAAATAATGTATTGATAAATTAACTAAATTAAGTTTAAAAAGAGTGTTTGTACTTTTCTTATTCTAAAGAGACCCTTCATCTTTACTTTATTTTGTCTATCTTGAAATTTTTAATATCCAGGCATCTAAGATTTTGGGTTTTTTATATAAATAAATAAAATCAATATTATGTTAATTAAAATTGACTTCAACATTAATATATAAGTCAATTTAAATTGTTATCGATTATAATCAATTTTAGTTATACAAAGAAATTAATTATAATCGACTTTAATTAAAAAAATTTAATTTAAATCATTTTTTTTTGCAACATAATGAAGAAGTCGATTATAATCGACTTCAATTATACAAAAAAGTCAATTATAATTTATACAAAGAAGTTGATTATAATCAACTTTAATTTTAAAAAAAATATAACTGATATACATATTTAAAATATGAACTACAACAAATATATACCTAATTAGAAGAGTTTTGGTTCTGTTCTTACACTCTTAAACCCAATGAAAAGAAGATAAACACAAAATTTGCATGTTATCTAAATTTGAGAGATTTGTGAAATAGATACCAGGATACTTCATAAATAAAGTAAAAAAATTATTTTTTTTCTTTGCTTACTCAATTACTGATCTGTTTATGTTGTTAGATACAAAAGTATTAGATGCAAAAGGGTGCATATTCTTAAGTTAGTTTGTGCAAAGGTTAGGCTGTTAGATAGAGTGCTTCCGGGGGCACTATGGTGTTATTGTTACTATGCTTGATTGGCTTTCCATAGACTTCATTGAACGATGGCATTTTTTGTTCTCCTACACCTTCCTTTCTCAAAATTAGTATTGTTCGAGAATTCCAAATGAAAACCTCCCAATCCCACTACACCAAAACCATAATCATTACATAAAAACTCCACTTTTATAAACATTAAGAGGTTCAAAAATAAATTTTATTAAAAAAAATAACTTACTGTATTATACGTATTTTCAACTAGAACATAGCAATTAATTGTATTATATTAAAGATAGAAAAATATAATAAATATTTTTTAATAAAATTTTATCAAGATTAGTTGATAAAATTCATTAATTTTAATATTTTGATAAGAATAAAACTATTTTAGAATTTTAATTTCATGTACTTTCAAATTTAAATTTTATACAATTTAAAATTTAAATTTTATGTCTTTTAAAATATTATTTTTACATTGATATCATTTAATAATTTATAAAATTATTATACAAAAATATTAACAAATTTAATTAAATTTTTTTTAATTTAGATAAGAAATTAAAAAAAATTATATAACTTAAGTATACATAAATCATAATTCAAACTCTAAAAATACACCTAAGACAGGATTTAACTAATACAAAAATTGATTATAATTAACTCTTTTGTAGAGCAGAAGTCAATTATAATCGACTTCCTTGTTAAGCTGTAAAAACGATTATAATCAATTTTTATGTAATTCAAATCAAAATATTTGTATAAAAAATTTTATTTTAATGTATATACGTAATATCTAATCATTTTTATTTTATTTAGGTAAAAAATTCTAATTTTTTTTTGTAATTTGTTATTGTTTTAGGTTCTTTAGCCCCTCTAATAATAATAATAATAATAATAATAATAAATATATACGTATTTTAGTTGTTAAAATATTAATATTATTATTATTTAACAGAATTAAAATATAATTTAACATTTTAAATAAATATTTATAGATTTATTATATAAATTTTATTAAAAATAATAATATTATAAAATTTAATACATTAATAATATTAAATATTATAAATTTAATAAAATAATTACTTTTTATTTTTTAATTAAGACTCCCTTGCATTAAATATTTTTTAAAATTAATTAGCAAAAAAAAAAAAAAAAAGAATGGCGGGTGCGTAGGAACTGTGGGCGGCGACTAGTGGATCTGTGGAGTGCCATATACACTCAACTTTCAACTTAATAAACCCCAAACCCCATTTTTCTCTATATCTCTCTCTTCAATCGCTTCGTTTTCTCCGCTTCCATCACCACCATCTCTCTTCTCTGTAAGCCCTTCTCTCTCTCTCTCTTCAATCAGTTCTGTTTACTATTGATGTTTGATTCTCCATTTTAATTGACCCTTTTCATCAAACCTTCGTCAGCTTTTTTCTTTTCTCTTACCAACAACACATGTATCTTATCACTTTTGTGTTAAACAGCATCTTCAGCTTCAACTATTCCTCGTTGTCTCGATTGTTATTCGTTTATTATTTAAGAGAACATAATAACAACAAAAGAAAAACTTTTTTTTTTAAACCCCTTTGATGGGGGTTGGGGTTTGATGTGACTGCAGGATGAAACATGCTAGTGTAAATGATTATGCATGTTTTTCTTTTGATTTGAATTTGTTTATTTATTTTGTGTGTAAGCACTGTTTTTTGGCCAGGATTTTCATCTGATTTGGAGGTTTTTAATGAAAAGAAACAAACTTTATGTTCTGTGTTGACCTTATTTATTTTATTATTTGTTGATGCAATTGAGTGCTGCTTCAAAAGTTTCAGAGTCTGTCTTTACTCTCTAGAATTGTTGTGAAAGTGTTTATGCTTTGGGAAAGTGTTTGAGAATAATTAATTGGCTTTGAGCACATAATGAGGCCATTTTGTTAGGTTGTTTTTGTTGTGAATTGGAGCATCGAGTGAAGAGCAGAGAGCTACCATCTTGCTTCTTCTCATAGCGCTCCATAAATCAAGAGCCTTTTATAGAACAGAAATGGAATTGGTTCCATTTTTTGTAAATTTTTGTGGCATAAATTCATTCAAAGTCTATTTTACAATTTTCTTTAGGATTAAAACTCTTTTACTTGCATATCTACCTACCTTTAACATAGTTGCTATAGTTCTATGGTTTCCTTCTCTGGTTTTGTAATCTTTGAAGCCAGCAACTTTAATATTGTCAACTGCGAGCATTATCCCTGGCCTAGCTGACGATGATTGAAAGTTCACTAGTAAAGGGGTCTTGGCATTAAGAAAGAACTAAGCAAAGAGAAGTGTCAATATTATTCTTCATTTCAATCATTTTGTGCATGTTGAATTGCGGCTACTACATTGTAATTGAATGACATTAAATAATATGAATGAATTATCTGACTTTTCAAAATGTTGTCTTGACTCTTGCAATGTTGTTATTAAGACATTTTTATCAACGCAATGATGCAAGATAAAAATATTAAAAATTGTTGTGGATATCAAAGATAGTTGATTGCACATTACTTTTTGGACATCTGCATCATATTTTTATACCACGTTTTGATCAGAAACAACAATATTAGATATGGTGCTTACTGGTTATACGCTTGGTGAAATACATTCATTTGCAATATTTGCCCTTTCTATAATTATAATCAAGGTAATGTTATTCTTTCAGTTTCTTCGGAAGGGTACTGCTATTTGATGAATGTATTTGCCTAGCAATATTAGTCTTCTAGAATTTTAACTGAATCCAATTGGTTTTAAGTCTCAATTTTTTATTCATTATATGTAAAACCTATGCTAACTCTTACTGTCCTTCGTAATATACAACCACTTATTCTGTAAATGGTTAATTTTCCTGTGTTGATTTATTTTCAGGCTAATCATGGCAACCTTGTCAACTGCCAAGGTTTCCCCTCAATGCATGGTTCAAACTGCAAGCAAAAATCAATCCAATTTTGCTACCATAGTGAAGTGCCCTGCTTCTTTCGGGTCTGTGAAGAGTGTTTCCAGATCATTCGGCTTGAAGTCATCTTCTTCATTTAGAGTCACTGCCATGGCATCTTACAAGGTTAAGCTGATTGGCCCAGATGGTCAAGAGAATGAGTTTGAAGCCTCTGACGACACTTACATCTTAGACGCAGCAGAGAATGCTGGAGTTGAACTTCCTTACTCATGCCGAGCCGGAGCATGCTCTACCTGTGCTGGGAAGATTGTTTCTGGTTCAGTGGATCAGTCTGATGGGTCATTCCTTGATGACAATCAATTGAAGGAAGGCTTTCTGCTTACCTGTGTCTCCTATCCAACTGCAGACTGTGTAATTAAAACTCACAAGGAAGGAGAACTCTATTGAGCAATGATGGATACTCTTCAAAACTCTGATGCAGGGACTGGAAATTTAAGGTAGACTTTGCCGCTTCTGCTATAGGATCAACCTTTCTTTTGGGATTATTAGTGATTTGGTATCATGAAATTTTGTTTGTTAAAGCAAGCTCTGTGATATTATGATAAGAACCTTCGTTTGGAATTTATATGTAATAATGAATTTTATGTTTCTTTATTCGGTTTTTTTAAATATGTATTCATGCGAAACTGATTAAGAAAAAAAAAAACTTCAAATAATGAATTTAAGGTAAAAGGATTGTAATCCACACGTGTGTTAATAGCTGGTATCTTGTAAGTCCCCGAAAAATTCTTATTAAAAGCATAATTTCAATTGACATTTTTATTAAAAGAAAAATCTTAACTTGAACTTGCAAAGAATTAGCCATGTAAAAGTTCAACAATCTTATCTTTTTCAAATTTAAAATGATTGTGTCCCTTTTGTCTTGCTGTTTACAGGCTGAATATTTTTCCAACAAATTTGGCATGTATAGACGTGTCTGACACATATTGTCAGTGTATCATACTCCTACACAAACCGAGTCACGGACTCAATACTAGAATCATGTCTTCTGTTCAACTTTTTGTTTTTAAATTAGAAAATTAGCGCTTGTGTTTTTTAAAAAATTGAAAAATACCAGCGTACAATTAAAATTTGAAGCTTTTCCATCTTAATTTTAAATTTGAGTTCTTATGAATATAGTTATATTAAATGTTCAAATTTTTTCGTCCGTAACAATTTCACTTGGATTGGATATGATTATTTTAGTATACATGGCATAAGAAAACATTTAATTGCCCCTTTGTGTTTCCAAGGGAAAAGATTCTCCTTATTGTAAATGGGTTGACCGAGCCCAAATCTATCGTTCATTGTATTAAAAAATAATCTAAGCTATGTGTCAGGGCCCAACTATAATGGACCTAACCAGAGGATTGACGCTTAGTTGGGCCCCAGAAAAGGATTCTAAACTCTATTACCATTGCTCATTGCTCAATGCTGATCTAAGTGGAATATATATATCTATGAAGATACTTGTAAATAATATAAACTAAATGACGTATATCTCTTTTAAATATTCCAACATTATTTTGTTTTAGGTTGGTTTCTATAATTAATATGCTGTGATTAGGCAAGCCAAGTTTATATTTTCAAAAGCTATTTGTTACGTTAAATAACAAAACATGGAACCTTTTTTAGTCATTATTTTAAAAAATAAAAAATACAAGTGTTTTTTTTTATTCTTCATTTTCAAAAATAGGGTAAAAAGATAAAGAATGTGATTATTCCTTTTTCTCTTACCACTTTCACATAATTTGTTCCTATATTGTGTTCAAATAAGATTTTTGACTTTTTTATTTTATTTTAAAAAATAATTTTATAAAATAATTTCTTTATTACATAAAAGTAAATTATTCACTAAATTTAATAGTTATTAATCAATTTAATTCCTAAAATAATTACCATCAATAAATTTGATCTCTGATTTCTTACATTTTAGTTCTTGAAACAGAACATAACATCAATTTAGTCTTTTAAATTTCATCAATTGATTTGGTCTATGATGTTAAAAACTATATTAATTGATTAACAATAAACAATAAAAAAAATTTATTTCTTAATAATTTAATAATGGATTAACATCTGATAGTGCATAGCTTTTAAAATAAATTTTGAATTGTTAATATAGATATTTTAAATTTATATGAATAATATAATATGTTAGATTACTAACAATTGATTTTATCAACAAAAATATTAAAAAATATTGTATTTTATTATTTGTTAGTATTAAACTTCAAAAACATTTAATAATAATTTAATTATTGTTTAAAATTATATTAGTGAAACTTAATTAAATATTTAATCAATAACTTTTTGTGCAATAAAAGTTAGGAATGAAATTAACTGATGCGCATCAAATTTAGAGACTGAACAATGGCAAAATTAATGATAAAATTGACGGATTAAGAACTAAAATGATGATATTTATCAAAATGAGAAATTAAAAAGATAAATAATTATGATTTCACAAACTGATTCCACAGATTAATTTAACTTTGTATTAATTATTAGAACCTCTTGTCAACGTATACTTAATTGGATGGCTGATTTGTTCATTTGAGTGCGTTATTATGAATGCTTTGAAAATGGCACTAAACTCGAAAGTGGGGAATTAGGGTTGCTTTATGAGGAAGCTAGCTTTCAATAAAGTTTTTATTTTCGATTTTCTATAAACATTGCAATAGGAAATTATAATAGCTCCTCTCATTAGATTATTTTAATTAAAATCTTTGTGATGGTTAATGTAACTTATCAGATGATTCTAATAAAAATTAAGTTTAATGCAATAGTTATTAGTCTATAAAAAGTTTAACTCATAAAGAGGATTTCTTTTTAAAGAAAAAAAGTGAGAAGGAATTTCATTTCAAGAAAAATATAAATTCCAGTCTTTAAAATTAATTTGAGTAGTTAATAGTAATAATAATAGTTTTATTAAAAAAATTTCTCATAGTTTTATGTTTTAAAAAATAATAATATTTTTTTAAAATATAAAAAAATAAAGATATATTTTCAAGTGCATTTATAAAATTTATATTAATAAAATATTTTTTAATTATACATATAAGTAACATTCATTTAATATATGAGTTATTAATTTAAATTTTTATTTTCAAAATATATTATAAATTTGTGATGTAGAATTATTTTAAAAACACTGGCCTTGAACTCTTGGTAGTATTTTGCTTTATTTTATATTTATTATATTGTTTCTTAAAATAGGTTTTTGCAAAATGTGAGTTGATTATGATTGATGATATGTAGTGGGTTTGGATGTATAATTTATTTAAATATTTATTTGGTAATTTTTTAAAATGATAGTTTATATTATAAATTTAATAAAAAATTTCTTAAATTTTTAAATAAAATATATAGTAAAATTTATTATATAAGGTGAAATTCCTAAATTATATTTGCAAATTATCTTTAAGTTCCTCTTAACACGGGCTGAATTATCATCATTAGCATTTATAGTATTAAAAAATATATTAAAAGCAAAGAAGATTGAAATAAAATAAGAAATTGGTATAAATTTGGGTGATGAATAGAAGGAGTAAATTTGATTTTCAGAAGCAAAGTATCAACCAGCTTTCATGGAGAGGGTACTTAACACGTGGGCTTCATGAGATTCGCATATGCATTTTATAAAATAAAATTTTCTTCGTATTAAACAATTAATTAATTTAAGATAATTTGTTAACTTCAATGTATCATTTTTTTCTATTTTTAAAGATTAAAAAACTAATGATTATTTATGTTAGAATTGTTTTTCGTCTCTTCTCAAATTATATTTTGTAATATAAAAACTTTGACTTCGGAAGAGTTTTCAAAGTTAAAAAAAATCATTAACTTTGAGTTAATTATGCAATTATCATAATTATTTTATTCTCTCATATTCTATTATTCTTTCTGTATTTATTATCTCACATTTCTCATAATAATTTTTATAAATTATTTATTTAATTTGTTATTATATCTCTTGTTTATTGTATTACTTAATACGGGTTATTAAAAAAATAAAAAAAATAATTTTTTCAATTAAATACATATTAATTATTAAAGATAAAATTATAAAAAATCATCTATAAATTTATAAAATAATAATAAACGAATGAAATAAAATTGATAAAAAATGAGAAGGAGAATTTGATAATTTATAAAAACTTATGCACTTACATGTTTCAATCGATCCTTAAAAAAAACAATATATCAATAGAGTAATACAATTAAAAATAACAAAATATGCTTAATTGTGACGACGACACGTGTAATACAGTTAACTTAACCTTTTTGAAAAAGAAAACATAATTATTTTTAATTAAATATTAATTATTATTAATATGAAAAAATATTATTTCATAATTTTTATAAAATTTATAATTTTTAATCTATCATATTAATTGTATTTTTTAATTTATTTTCTTTAACAAGCTAACGTATTGACCCACCATAAATATTATTTAAACATACTTAAAATATGCATAGAGTACACTGATGAGGAAGTTATCACTATTAAATCTAATGGCAAGTGAAATAATAAATTATAATTTGTTAGATTTAAGTTAAATGAAAGATTTAGATTTAGTGTAAGAATTTTTAGACTTACACCAATATAAAAATTATATATATATATATATATATATATATAATTTTATAAATGAAAAATAACCATTGAAACTCACATAAAATTAATGTCTTGAAGAGATACCAGAGAGCTTAATATTTGCATTTTTCATTGAATAAAACGATATTAATCTAATAATTATGTATATTGAATGTTAGATAATATTGGCATGTGTAACTATATAATTTAATAATTACTTATATTATATTATACATTAAATAAATTGACAAATAAAATATTAATTAGTTTTAAATTTTTATAAAAAACAGAATTAAATTGAATTTAATATTTAATTTAAATTAGGGATATCTCATAAATAACTGAAAGGATTAATATACAATAGCCACCACAACTGTAGTCTACACATTTACACTGGGCGGGACCACACTTATAATGGATACAGACTCAACCAATATAAATGTTTATATCTTATCTTTGCTTGCCATCCATTGAGGTAAAATGATATTTGCACATCAATATTTTTATATTATTTTTTACATCACACCTATTCTTAAAAAAATAAAAAATAGTCTATGGAAATGTAAAAGCTTTCATTTTAATACACAATTTCACTGCTTTTACATATTCTTACACAAGGTCAGAGTAAGTGATTTAAGCAGTATATATTTAATTCTTTAAAAAAAAGAATTTAAGTTAAAATTGAATATATGATAAAAGTCTTTGTTTAAAAAATTTGTATCAACATACAGCTATATTGTGAATATTATTCAAACAAAATTAACTCGTGTGAATAATACTTGTGGGTTTTAAAAATTAGAATATATTTTGTTCTGTATTCTTAAAATTTATATTTTCTCTATACTTTAAGATATTTTTCATCTGATTACTAAAATTATTACAATACAAATTTTATTTTAAAATGATTAATACTTTCGAAATTTTACCTGGACAGAATTTTGTCGCTTTCTTAAAAGAATTGGAAGAGTGATGTAAATAAAATGACATATCATCAATATTGGTCTTGAAAACAGAGTTGCTCTGCTTCTCATTGGAATATGATTATTATATAAAGAGAGAGCCATGCTCACACATAATGAGAAGCTCTGTTAGGTGGCCAACCTTGCATCATCTCAGTTTCTGTGCATAGAAGTGTGGTGGTCTGGGTTGGATCAGATCAGTTATGACAAACTGTTTCCTCTTCTTCATATCAGTGCTTTTGCTTCTTCTCCACATTTCGGGTTCGTTTTCTACTTTGTCTACTTCTGCTTGATTCCATTTGATTCCAAAGAAAGTGGATCAATAAGAAAAGAAAATTAGCCTATATGTTATCTAAGATAGTCTTATTCTATTCATACTTACCTTGGAAATGGAATGGAACATTCTAGCCTTGTTGAGTGAGTTGTGATCACAATACTACTATTCCTTTTAGCTTCATAAGAATGAAATGTCATTTGTGTAGAGGAATCATTGAATCAACCATTATTTAACTTTCTCAGTCTCTCTCAACTTGGGGTAGTATCTATTCTCCTTATAGTATGTATTGAGTGTTTGTCCAATATCTAATGAATCTCACTTAAAGGGCCATCTTCATTCAATGTTTAATCAATTGTGCAAGTTGAACTGCGTTAAGCATTTTGATCGGATATTTATCTAGTAAACATGTTGATATATATATATTTTTAAATATGTTTTCAGATTTATTTGTGCAAATCCATGGCCTTCCTTTTGGAATCAACTATGGACAGAAAGCTAACAATTTACCTCCTCCATCTCAAGTGGCTGTTCTTATAAAATCTATGAATGTAAGTAGGATCAAACTCTATGATGCTGATCCAATTGTTCTTGTTGCCTTCTCCCAATCCAATGTGGAATTCGTTATAGGACTTGGAAATGAGTCCTTGCAGAACATGACAAACGCTGCTAAAGCTCAAACATGGATTCAGCAGTATGTTCAACCTTACCTTTCACAGACTAATATCACTTGCATCACTGTGGGAAATGAAGTCTTAGACAGCAATGATACTCAGCAAATGTTCAACCTTCTTCCAGCAATGCAAACTTTGCATGATGCCCTTGTTGATCTTGGACTAGACCAACAAGTTACTGTCACAACCGCACATTCTTTTAACATATTAGCCAATTCCTACCCTCCTTCATCTGGGGCTTTTAGGGAAGATCTTATGCAATATATCCAACCCCTTCTTAACTTTCATGCACAAATCAACTCACCTTTCCTCATCAATGCATATCCTTTCTTTGCATACAAGGATAACCCAAATGAGGTTCCTTTAAACTATGTCCTTTTTCAGCCAAATCCAGGTTTGGTTGATCCAAATACCAATTTGCATTATGATAATATGTTGTATGCTCAAATTGATGCTGTCTATGCTGCCATCAAAGCAATGGGGCATACTGATATTGAAGTAAGGATTTCTGAGACTGGTTGGCCTTCTAAGGGTGACCCTGATGAGGTTGGAGCTACACCACAGAATGCAGCATTGTACAATGGTAACTTGCTGCAAAGGATTGAGCAGAAGGAAGGCACTCCTGCAAAGCCATCAGTTCCAATTGATATATATGTGTTTGCACTTTTTAATGAGGATTTGAAGCCTGGTCCAGCATCAGAGAGGAACTATGGCCTTTACTATCCTGATGGTACTCCAGTTTATAACATTGGATTACAAGGTTATCAACCACAGATGCCTATGGCCTCCAAATCCAATGTAAGTAGACAAATGATGGAAATTTCACATACTTTTTGAAAATTTATGATTAATTTTTAATGTATCTAATGCTTCCATCGATCTCAATTTTCAGGCTATGTATGTCAATTTTCTTGTTTGTGTAATTACATGCTTGATCTTTGCTTGGGTGCTATCAAGATCATGATCAAAAGAAGGGAGGGGCACAAAGGAAACACAGGAATTCCTATACGTCATTCTCTTGCAAAAAATGCGATTCAAGGTGAGGAAAAAAAATTAATTTGACCCTTTTTTATAGCAATTTTCCTTGTATTTTATTTGCAAGGTAATTAATTGATATTTTCTCCATACTGTTTCAGTATGTGGGGATTACATTAATACTGAAACGTTGACGGAGTTAAAATCATAATATAGTAGTCTAGACCTGTAGATTTTTCTTTTTCAAGCCTTAAGCTCACATGCTAGATAATTATTCTACCAACATGAAATTCATTCCTCCACATCAATAGCAAAATTAGACATGATATTCTTGTGAGAAAAAGTTCAATCCTAGGCTCAAAAGGGAAAGCCTTTTTCAAGCCACCACTTTAATCTATTCTTAGCTTTCTAATAGTACTATACAAATTAGAACAGTTTGAAAATAATTTAATGGGAAAGTTTTGGAACCATACTGTAGAAAGGTTCTGCCTAAATATCAATTAAAGCAGCACCTGTCAAATGCTGTCCAATTCATGCATGCCCCAAGTGGACTCTTGTGCCGACTTTAACCACCCCAAGAAAACCTTCATTACTCTTTTGAATATTAAAAATATGGTAATGAGTCTCCATCTTCCTTATCTCCCACTTGCAATCATGCATATGAATCTCCCTGTGAATGAACTTATTCTTGTCTTCAGCTATACAAAAGTCCAAATGGGTTGCATCAGATTAAAAAGAAAACCTCTCAGAACCTCACATTAAAAATTCAAACCCGACAAATTTTGCCCCATGGTTGTGAACCTTATCTGAGATATAGCTCTCTTGTTTCAACAATGTCCTCCTTTTATTCCCAAATGATTTGTTTCCTTGCCATGCATTTCTTTTCAGATTTTCGTCACGATTCATGGACTAAGTTAAAAACACAACCAGCTTCCATACATAAATCAACAATGTAAAGTCGGCTACATAAGTCACAAGAATCATGTTACAATGGCTAGGAATAAATGGTTAGAGTGCAATGGTATTAAAATGTTTAAAAAATTTGAGAATTTCTACCATCTCAACCAATGAGTCATATTCATGCTTATGGAATAAATAAATTCTTTGTGTGCAAATAACGTGTAATTAGATAAATATGTACTTGCGTATCATATGCAACTTATAAAACCTCATAAGCTAAGAGGGGTTATGACCTATGAGCATCTGAGAGGCTAAAACTTTCAACCAAGGAACCTTATTTAGAATTTTGTTGGAAAAAAATCACGTAGAATATTCTACTGCATGAGCTGATTATCGCTTTTAGACATGATGGCAACAGCATGGTCCATGCTTTTGAAAATGGATTGTTGCATCCACTCATCACTGTAGCTCCAAACGGGATAAGATTGAAAGATAAAAGCATTCACTTGAGAATTTGCAGCCAAGGACGGGTTTCTAATTATAGAACTTTTTGGCACATTATTTATAATTTTTAATAAATTTTAATCAATAAATAAGATTATGTTTAAAAAGGTATCATTTACATTTCTCTTGTACATGAAGAGACCTTTCTGATTTCTAAAAATATATTCAACCAAGCAAAGAGTGGCCCGTAGAACTATTGTTAAATTTAATTTATTAAGCATGGTTTAAGAAGTAATCTAAATAATTGGGGGTATAATAATGTGATTACTCTGAATTGTGTGAGATCTTTCAAGGTGTGCCTCTTTTTCTCTAGGTAGTACATGACTGGGAAAGGTGTCTAAATCTAGTACTTATCTCTGATGTATGTTATTGACTTTGATATATCCTTGCAGGGAGAGGGAAAAGCAGCACCGTTTTCTTTCATTTGTCCAATGAAATCCCTAAACTTTGATTGAAAGCCATGGCACCAATTGGTCGGTGGTTTGGTAAATATAACTCATACTATCCGTCACTCTTCAAGGTTGGGTTTAAATATTTAAAAATAATATTTTTTATTAAAAATATTTATTAAATTGAAAATATAAAAATATTTAAACTCAGCTTTTAAGATTGAAGTTACAAAAATTGTACAATCATTCATATACTTCATAATTTTAGTGATAACTAAAAATAGATTCTAGAGATTGGAGATGTTAGAGTAGATTGTTTTTTTTTAATTATTATTTAACGTATTTTTTTTCCAGAAATTATAAGAATTATGATGTATGGTAGAAGTTTCCCTTGGATCTATAGAAGAAAATATTGGATTTTGATGTAGCCATCTTTTTAATCTAATTATTGCCAACTGTTTAGCACAAACTTAATTAGTGGTTAAATGATGTTTCTAATCAGACATAAAAACAATTTCTTCGTTTGTGGATTAGTTTTTATAATTTATAAATGTACTTCATATGAACAAAATAATTGAGACAACTGAAAAATGGCAATTCGTGCAAGCAACCATTGTCTAAGATAGGTGCTATCTGGAGCAATCTTTTATTCATTTAATTATCGTATTAGTCAAAACGGTATTAATGCAGATACAAAAATGAACCCTTCTCTTTTTTCTTTTTCTACAATTCTATTTGAAGACATTAACGGTTTAATTTGGGTATAATGATCTTTACATCGTGAATTATTTTGAAAATACTGTGGATATTTGTTTTATATTAATCGTTTATAAAACTTAATAATTCTTACTTATACGAAAATGATGATACCATAAAGAAATCTTACATTGCCAATATATTTAAATTTTATTATTTTTATTATTTGTTAAAATGTATAAAATAATGAATTAGAGTTGTTAAATAAAAAATAAAACTTACAAAATGTTATGATTTTTTAAATAATTTTAAATGTTTAATAAAAATGTATTTTTAAAAATGTGCTACTATTGCTTCACTTTGATATTGTGACGACATAAAATTCTCATCCAACACCTTTTTCCATTTTGGTTAAGTTAGTAAACAAGTCAAAAATAGAATTATCATACTTTGAAATTACCTTATTTTGAGGGAAGAAATCACAGATTCACTATTTTGAAATTCTCCTGAGTTGAAGCATTCTATGGATCATTGACCTCACAACAAAGTTGTACTATAAACAAAAGGAAGAAATTCAATTAAAAAAAAAAAGGCTTTTTTCACTTTCTATATCTATAACCTTCAATGAAAGAGGAGCGAGACATAGAAGAAAAGAAAAAAATAATAACATATGCTAAATAAAGTGATAAAAAAAATTTAAAAAAGAGAGAGTAATAAAAAAATAAATTAAATAATTATAAAAAATTAGAGTGTAAAATAATAAAAATTATTTCAATTTAAATAATTATGCTCCTCTTAAGTCCTACCAAACCAAATAGGCATGCACAAAATATACTGTTCTCAGTTGCCTTGTGTGAAAAGCTTGGGTTCTTTAAGAATGGTAATTGTAAGTTTGATATATATTATCCCTTTCTTTAACTTGAAAAATTATATTTTTTTTCAATTATAGAAAATAAAATGTTACACTTTAATCAATTTAAATATAAATAAAGATCTGAAGATAAATAAGCTTTTAATGCTATGACTCTCGTTATAATCAGTTTCTCATTTTAAACATTTAACTATTTTACAGAAAAAAAGTTTAAATTATGTTTATGAACAATTTTTATGTTTAATTTTGTTTAATGGAAATTATTAGTATTTTCGTTATCTAAATAAGTGATTTCTTCTGATACCGTAAATTATTGTTTTAAAGTTAAAGCGCTTAGAAATTTATAATTTTGAGGGAAAAGAAAAAATTGGGAGACTGATATTGGCGGGAAAAGAAACCTAACTACAAAGCCCTAATTTATTCCAATTTGAAATCGGAATCGAAGAAGAGAATGGCGGAGGCGGAGGAGCTTCCCCGGGCTGTCGTGCGCCGCGTGGTGAAGGAAAAGCTCTCCCGTTGCTCCGACGACGGAGAAATTTCCGTCAACAAAGACGCCCTTCTCGCTTTCTCCGAAAGCGCTAGAATTTTCGTTCACTACCTCTCCGCTACGTAAGCTCTCGAACCCTAATTGGCCCTCAAACGAATTTCGAAGCTTTATTCCCCTTTTCCTGTTTGGTTAATTAGAAAATTTTAGGGTTCGGGTTTTGGGGGGAAATTTTTGCAGGGGATTGGATGATTGATCAATGTATGATGAAATTAAACTGTGGAAGAAATAAAAAAGAAAACTTTTTGAGATAGAAGAACAGTGAATGGTGTTTGTTTGTGTATGATGTGATGATGATGGTGTGCAGGGCTAATGACATATGTAAGGAGTCAAAGAGGCAGATTATCAATGCTGAGGATGTTTTCAAGGCTCTTGAAGAGACTGAGTTCCCTGAGTTTGTTCGCCCTCTAAAAGCTTCTCTGGAAGGTCACTTCCAGATACAATGTTCATTCCAAAAATGAGGCCACTTCTTTTTTTTTCAGACTAGCTGTGTTTCCGTCATAAAAGTTAGCATGAAACATCGTGTATAAGACTTAAATTTTATCAACTTATCATTCACCTAATTATAGAGGTATTTCTATATGAGTTGGTATAAAAGTTTAAAATATAAAATTAGTTAAGAGTATGAAAGTGTCTGCAAAATGTCCAACACTGGCACGACTATTATGTTGAAGTGTCCATGATTCCTTGGTTAAAACTGAGTATGTTTTATGTCATCAGACAAGATGTGATTCTCTGTTCTTAATTACTTTGTTCTTCACTGCTATGCTAAATAAACAAGCATGCTCAGCTGGGGTAGTGGGTAATTTTTGGTTCAAAACTATTAAGAGGAGCTAGTGTATCTTTTGTTTTACTCATGTTAAGGTAGGCAGGAGACTAGGAGAGGGAGTGCATTTCTGAAACACACAAGACACTACTTTTTAATGTTTTGCATTGGTAAACTAGTAATCTGTCTAATAAGATTTTTATATATTATTTTTTTTCATATTGAAAGGAGAAGAATTCATTTCCTGTGTCTGCTTAGTTTTTGGCCTACCTTAACACTTCTTTTCTCCATTGCCAAACAGAGTTTAGGAAGAAGAATGCTGGTAAAAGAGCTGCAGTGTCGAAGGGAAAGGGAAATGAGACGACAAAGAAAAGAAAGTCGGAAGCTGATGCATCTGATAAAGGTGAGGGTGGTGACGGCCAATGATTCAAATGGATGCAGGCAGTTGCATTAGTCATGACTGAGCCGGGGTTATATCTCATGTAGTTATGTTGAAATGTACATGACTCCTTGTTAATTGGATGTGAGTACTTGGTATTAATGTCACAAATGTAGCTTTAAGATTGTTTGTTAGTAATCCCATTGATGCAAGGAACCTTGTAGGAAAATAAAAAAAGGATTTTCCATCCTAAATATTGATGTGTTGCATTCTTTCATGACGAGTGCGAGGAGTTAATAAAGAAGTTGAACAGAGAACATCGTTACACAAACTTACCTTTGAGGGGAAACGCGTCAAAAATATGTCTTGGACATGAGCAATTTTATTGCATTTCGTTATGGATGTCTGGATTGTACGAGCCACCACTAACATAATTTTAATTTTCGGGTCACTGCGCAAATGACGTTAATATTAGTGTGATTGATAACCATTTTCCCACTCTTCTACGTTGAAATAAGGTTCTGGTATTTGGCGATGTTTTAAACTCATTAATCATGTGGTTTATTTGGTGTCAAGTGATTAGAAAGAAGCGAATTCCAAGAACCATACTCTATAAGAAAGGAAATTATATGGGTGATTGCTGACATTAACCATCTCAAAAACTCAGAATTTGATAATAAACCATGCTTGCCAAGGGATATGGCAATCAGTAACGCGTTTCAAAATTGGTTTTTTAATTTATAAATTCAAATAAGGGAGGCGGGAACTAATTTATAAATATGATTTTGATCTTGATTCCCTTGTCAGTGTCATAAGATCTAATAGATTTGAATACACGTGTTCTTGCAAGATTGAGTGAGCATATCTACAAATAGGATAAAACGGAATTAGCAGGATTCATGTTGCAAATTATGAGTGAAAAAATTTCAATTTTTTCAAAACTCCATCATAACAAATATCCAACCAGGCCCTAAATTCCAGCAAAGACGGTGCACCTACGGTCATCCTGATTCCTGTATACCTTCTTGCATGCGTAGCATCACAGCACGTCTCCGATAACCCTTCGGACTGTAACGACAATGATGATACTAATGGCTTTGTGCAGCATTTTTATTGTAATAATCTTGCATTTTAAATCTTAGGTCCATATAAGAATGAATCAAAACTATAAGAAAATTGAATGCCTGGGCTGGTAACATGATATATGTCAGTTCTTAAATACCAACAGGATACCATTGGGGGCATTCCCTTGGTTATCTCTTTCATGGACAAAGAACTGCTTGATGTTTTCTCCGGTTATGCAATGGTCTCAAGTATGGAACTATGGGATTAATTATCAACATAAGAAGAATTTAACTTACACATTAAACGCCCTGACATTATGTATGTAATCAACACTGAATCTACAGAATAAATTTTTAATTAAAAACAAATACGTAGCACACTTTGATGAATTATACGAGCTTGTAAAGGCACATAACAAAGTGGACATTTGAGAGAAGGGGGTGCTACGATAACCCCATCTACTTCAGGACCAGCTAATATGGGCGGTATCTGCGCCCTTGGCCACCATCATTGTTATGCCTTCCTTTACTTGAACTGCCAGAGTTTCTGCTGCCACTACCGCTGCTGCCACTCCTGCCACCTCTCTGATGAGAGGGTGGGGTCTGTGCCTGCATTCCTGGTTGTTGCCTGCAGAAGAAAATGATTTTTCAAGCTCAGGATTCAGGCAACTAGGGTGTCAGACAAAGCCATACTTAATATCGAACATTATTGCAACATCTTATCCACTAAATGTCAACGTATAAGAAGCTATACAAATTTAGCAACCGTTCTTACAAGACATATCCAATGCGTCCATCAGCCAAAAGCATAGGCATCATGGCCATTCCACTGGGAGTTTGACCTCTTCCATATAGCAAGGGCTGCAAAAAAGATACAATTTCAGCCATCAGAATCTCAGTTTACTAGATGGTGAATAAGAGAATGAATCAATGGCATATACGTAGTACATAGATAACCTGCATACACTTCATATAGCATATACTGATTAGTCTGATTTACAAGATTTCTAATGAAATTCAAAATATATTAAACATGTTATAGAGGTACACGATGCAATAAGGTTTTAGGTTCTATACAAGTTAGTAGAGTTCTTTATGTCAATATTTGGCATCAACATAGTAATGTTTGTTACACAATGAAGACCATACAAGAATACATTTGAGTCTGGCAGTATGACGGAAGCAGAAATGCAAACATGTCACCTGTGCAAGACTGGAAGCAGCATATCCTGCACCAAGAGCACCATAGGCACCCCCAACCAAACCATAACCAACATGTGATGGATAGCTTGGAAGCAATCCTGGCTTCTGTGTATTTGATCCTCCAGATTTCTGATCAGCCTGTGGCTTTGCCAGAGAGCACTCTAAAACTTGACCTGAAACATAGGGCATACCTAATCAATATTGACCAACATTTGCATAAACAATCCCTAAATGGTGGAAAATGATAAATAATTCAATTGATACCTTCTAATTCATATCTTTCAGTGTTTTTCAGCGCTTTCATAGCATTTGACCTGTCAGAAAAATGTACAAAGCCAATTCTGTTCTTTTCCTGTCCAGACTTTGCAGGTGGAAGAACCACCTTCGTGATCTTCCCATGGCGTTCAAAAAGCTTCTTCAGCTGTTCTTGAGTTACATTCTTTGGCAGGTTCTTCACATATACTGCCTTCACCTGTTCATGCCCATGTAAGAATTCACTATATTGAATGTTTACAGAGCAATGCATCTAGGATGAAAATTATTAAAAAAATATAGTTTATATTCATCAGCATAGTAGTCTAGTATTCAATAGCATATTTAGTGTATGATAGAATATTAGTCATTAATAATAATGACTGTAACAACGTAGTTAAACAGTTAAATTAGCTCTTGTACTCAATGCACTAACAATATACATTAGAGCTCCAAAAAATTATATCTAATTGATAAGATTTGTTTGTATCCAAGTTTTCAAATCCTGTTCTCAGAAAATAGAAAACAAAAACTTAGGTATGTATTCAAAGAGTATTTTTAGCTTTTACAAAAGTCCACCTTTACCTCATCCAGGCCAAAACTCTCCAGCTCTTAAATAAGACCCATTACTGCCAGTACACCCACCTCCCCACTGACCTGGATAGCACTAGCTGACCGCCGACCTAAAACCCTATTGAATGATTGTGTTTCGATTTTTTGTTAAATAGGGCCTAACATGATTTTCCCATGGATAACAAAATATAGCTTAATATCCTGCCACACCCAACATGATGAGACCCAACTCAAAAGGTGCATCAGCAAGTTCTATCACTTCATTCTTAAAAAAAAAGAATCCAGCTCAAAACATTCTTTGTCACCTACTATGCGGCAGGCATGCATCCATGCCCAAATTCCAACCAACAAAGTCTTGTGATACACAGTATGTAGAATCAACATTGCGAAGAATTTGTGCAAGAAGAATCAACATTTTTCACTTATTCAAATATGATACAGTGTGAAAAGCAAAAAAGGATCTGGTTTCAGATTCATTGTCATAAACATTAACAGAGAAGAGAAGGTATAGCACAGAAGGTGTTTTAAAAACTGTTTTTAAAATTAAATCATCAAACAAATATATACATTTTTATTTCTTGAAAACAGTTTGTATAAAATCATTTTTAAAAACAAAATACTGAAATACAATCAAACAGGCCTTACTCCTCTTCCTGTGTTTTATTTTCTTCTTTACTAACATTAATTTTTTTATTTCCTCTATAAAAGCACATCAGCCAATAAATGACCGCAAGCTACCTTTGTAAACCATGGGTGGGTGTAAGGTCATGGTTGTGGACATACACAAATAGGTTATAATTTGGGGTAACTATGTTTGAAACAAGTCTTTTTTTACCTGGAAGATATTTAATTTCCATTTCATCATGCAGACATTTTAAAAATAAAGATTGAAAAAGGTGAAAAAGAATGCAAAAAATTATATGCCAAAAGCAAAGCCAAAAAGGTAAACTTCCCAGATACAAACCAATCTTTTTCATTTTCTTGAACAATTAAGCAGAATTTTCATTATGAATAATACTTTTAAAATCTAGCAAGCAAAACTTGCAAATTTTGACAGTGATGTATATATTATAGATAGATCCATCATAATTGCAGATTTTTTATTATAATAAAAAGTTTCTTGTCACATTAACCATAACTACCAATTATCAACTGGGCTTAAAAGAAGGTAGACATAAGTCAAAACCTGAGATGCAGCAGAGGATTCAGCATTCTTAGGGTCAGCCCAGCTCACTGTTGGAGCATTGTCACCAAGCTTAAATGTTGGGCTCATCATCTTTTGCCTTGAATACTCAGCACATGCATGATTATAATAGTCAATAAAAGCAAAGCCACGGTTATTGTTGGTGTTCTTCATGTCCTGAAATAAAGGGTTGAACAAGCATTAACATAAGAGCAGTTAAATAAGAAAGCTGCAATGCTGATTCTCGTGTTCATGCAGTTGTGCATAATGCAAAAGCAACATAAGGATGATTGTAATAAATAACTTCTATGACGATTTAGGTACAGTAACAAATAATCCCTACACTTTTAATTAAAAGTAGAAAAGGAATGCATAACAGCATAATAAATACCTTGACTAATTCCACACTAGTAACTCCAGGTCCAGTCACAGTTACAATCTTCCTCAGATCTTCCTCACCCCAGCTTCTAGGAACATTGCCAATAAAAAGACGATGTTTTGCTTGTGATGTTGAACATTTTATTTTTTTACCCTGAGAGAATTGATCATTGATACAGTCAGGCATAAAAAAAAAAACAAATTACATCAAGAATTTTTGCATCATGCATCTGCAATGTCAGTAATATTAGAGTTGCAATAATGAAGCCGCCAACTTACAAGGAGAATCAGTTATGAATACTGATGATTAAGATTATGATATTACCTTAAATTCAGTATTATTCAGCTCCTCAATGGCTTTAGAAGCCAATTCCACGCTTCTAAAAGTCACAAAACCATAGCCCTTATTCTCTGAAGAATCCTTTCCCTTCATTACCCGAACCTGTTTTCCTCAAAATTCAAGTTAATGGGTGGCATTGTATCTAAGCATAAGCACAATACAATAACAATGGCACAGGCTTACCTCTGCAACATCCCCAATATGCTCACAAAATGCTTTCAAATCCTCATTTGATGCATCATGAGGGATGCCACCAATGTATACTTCAGACCCATGAGGAGGAAGAGAAAGAAGTTCAGCATGCTTTTTCTTCTCATCATCATCTTCCACCTTTGCTTCATCACTGCTATGATTTTGCATGGCATCATCATCTTCATCCACTTCTTCAACCTCCTCTTCTTCTTCCTCCTCCTCCTCCTCCTCTTCCTCTTCTTCTTCCTCTACCTCTACCTCCTCCGGGTCCTCCTCCTCTTCCTCCACCTCTTCCACATCTTCCACATCAGGTTCTATTTCGTCCACATACTCTTCTTCTCCTTCTTCTACTTCTTCATATTCAATTTCTTCTTCCATTGCTTCCTCTGGATCATTTGCCTCATCAAAATCGACCCTCTCATCAGATTCAACTGGCTTCACAGGCTCGGATGGCTTAGCAGTTGACGAAGAATTTGCCTTCCCCCGTGGCATCTTAAGAAACTAATTAAACAAGCTTGTGAGGCAACTGTGAAGAAGGCACAGAGGCCAGAAGAACTCCTGGGAAGAAGTATACACATATCGAAAGGAGGAAACAAAAAGAAAGGCCAAACTAGGGGTTGCAGCGAATGAATCTAAGTGGAACCCGCGCAATGAGATAAGACTTACAGGGCCGCAACACGAAAGACTTTCATTAAAGGGACAATGATAACATAATTAGCAGCATTGACAGGCAAGTCAATAAAAAAAGGAGGTGAAATGAAAGGAATCCGAGTTCAAAAGGCATGTCGGCGAGCACAAGCTCTTACATAACATAAAGTCAAATGAGGGGCAATGAAAATCCAGAATTGCAGGAGCATGAAATGTAAACATGAAAATTTTCCACTCAAATGCAAGGTGTACAAACAATTAGGCATTAAAGGAATGAGAAGGCAGAACAAAAAGGAGAATCATGAAGTGTCCAATCTCAGAAAAATAATAGCAGTTTCCAAACAAAACGTACCAATCTGTGCACCTTCCTGCCACAAATTTACAGATACGTACTAAGATAGGGTTTATTATACACTTCTATCAGCTAATCACTAACGCAACCTTAACCACAACGCATCAAATTTCACAAAAAACCTAAATAATAAAATATATACATAACAATGAAATCTCTCTATTCAACTTGCCTTTGTGCAGAATTCAGCAGCGAGAAAGAGGGAGTACCTTAAGGCAAATGGTGGAAGCTAAATTGCGCAATGCTAATTGGACGATAACGAAGAACAAGGGAGCACGACAATAACGAGATGGATCGAAAACAAAATTAATGCATAATTCGGAGAGCTTTTGATTTGGGGATAGAACTAACGAACCCTAGATTGCTGACTCACCGATTCTCACAAATGCGAACTTTTTAGTTTTAGATTTTATTTTATTTTTTGTTTCGGAATTACGGTAGACGACAAGCCGTTTCTTGCTTTTCCGTCCAAGTTTTCGAAAGTGAAAGGGGTGTGAGGGTATTATGGTAACTGACTCCTTGAGATTTTGAAGGACGTGAAAAATAAAATACATGAAAAATGAAAATTTACACCAGAGCCTTGCCCAAACACGTGTTGTCCAACTGTGATAATAACAAAATAAAATAAAATAATCCAAAAACTAATTAAATTAATGATGCAGTATATGAGTTCTCAAAACAAGCAAAGGGACGATCCGATTCATGATTTCAATCATGCATCAAACATAGTTAAGGGGCACATTGGTCTTAAAAGATGTTTTCTGATTATTTATTTTCTCTTGTTTTTAAATATTTGAACAGAAAATAAAGTGACAATTTTATAATTAAAATTAAAAAATGAAAACAGAAAATATTTCCATAAATCAACAAGGTGTAAAATGGTAATAATTAAATATATATTTTAAAATTGTATATTAAATTAAATAATTAAATTTAAAATAATTATATTCTATATGTTGTATGATAAAAGATTAATAATAAAAAATGGTAAACAAATTATGTATATAAGATTAACAATAAAAATTAAAATTTGACCAATTTAAATCAGCTCTTTATCTTTTATTTTTTTTACTAGTTCAAGTGGTTTTTACTATTTTGAGATTAATTAATTTTTTGGGGTAAATGGTTGGACCTCTTATTGATTTTTAGTTAAATTGTGATCATATGTCATGTGAAGACCAGTTGGAACTATAGATACATGATAATCTCAGGCCAAATAACAATTTCTTTTAACACGAAGAAAGGTTCTTGATGGAAATAGGAAGGATTCTCAAACATAAAAAAATAAAATAAAATAAAATTGATATGTTAAATTTGGGATCAAGAAGGAAATAAAGATTTTAATCCAAAATTTAATTACATATCGAGACTTATTTGTTGCATATCTTGAACAATTTTTTTCATGTCAATATTAGAAATAACAATGGGTATGATCAACATCTATATATTTTAGGACTATCTTTAAACATAAGCGTTTTTAAAAATATTTTCAAATAACAGCGTTTTTAAAAAAATAGTTTTTTTTCATCATGATAAGTAGTTTTTTCTACATAATGAATTTTTTAAAATTGATATTAATTAAATTTTAAATTTTCACTATTAATTTTATTTAACATGATAGAAAATTTATTATTAATAATTATAATATAATTTTATTATTTATTTTTAAAATTATTTTAATGTCCAGTACACAAAATAAATTACTAGTTTAAGTAAAATATTATAGTGTGTTCTTAGTCTCAGTGGACAATAATTTTAGTTGTCTATGATGAGCATTGGTTAAAAATATAATGTAATGTTTTAATAATGAGTAAATAAATAAAAAAACTAAAACAATAAAAATGTAACATAAAGTAATAGTAGTGTAAAAAAAAACCAAAGAATAACAATTTATACGCAAATCCTTTGTACCTTGACATGGAGTCATTGCGTATTTTTTAAATTGAATGAACATAGAAGTAAATTAGCTAGATCGTAGATATCCATTACCGGAAAATTCAAATTCTTTGTAGTTTTGACAATAATTATATTCTGCAGTTTAAATTTATTTAAATAAATTTATAAAAAAATTTTATTTAAATTAAAAATATTTGCTTAAGCAAATTTGGTAAAACAGTAATTTTTGCTTAAACTAAAATCTTCATTTAAGTTAAAATTGTAAAAAAATTTAAAATTTTATTTTTTTCTCTTTATTCCATCAAATATTTTAAATATATTATATAGTTTACTATTTATACTAAATATAAGTATGATAGAATTATTTAGAATTAAGTTAAATTGCTAAAACTGATGATAAAAATTATAGAAATAATAACTTTAAAAAATTAGTTGAAAAATAGTTGACAAAATAAAAAATATTATATTTTGAAATTTTCTAAAATCTTAACTTAAACAAATTTTTTTTATTTAAAAAAAATAACTTTTAACTAATTAGCTTAAACAAATAATTTTAACTTAAATAAAAATCACTTTTTTATCAAATTCATTTAAATGAATTTAAACTGCAAGTTGGCTGCAGTTCCTACTTGAACTACAGAAGATTCGCATCCATTAACAAGTAGTCTAACCTAAACTACCTTTTTTTATGCCTAGATACAGTCTATAATGGTCTATGTGAAAATAACAATCATAATCGGCATTCAGAACGAAAGATTATTGGCTGCCATCGATCCTCAAAGAACCCCCCAAACAAATAAATGTTTGTAGAGAATCATAATCTCAGCACATCTCTTCACTTAATCATGCAAACTCCAACACGTTAGGATATAAATATGATTTGTTTCTCCACTAAGGAAACAGGATTAGCAGCAGCTACATGTAAATATAGAAGATTAGTCGGGGGTCCTTATAGATTAACAGCGGCGCTAACTCCATACAGACATAAGAGGGTTTTACAAAGGGTAAAAGAAAAAGATAACATCGTAATGTACATTGACTAGCACTTCAAAAATGGGTAGAAAATCCTTTGATAAAAAGGGTCGAAAATAATATAAAACAGGTACAACAAATGCAACCAGCTTGACTCCATGGTTGAATCTTAACGAACTAGAACTCATCCTTACAAAATGGAAGCACCTTTTAATGTATATATTTCCTGCATCTGTAAGTAGACATTGTAACCCTACGTTATCCCTATTTCATGAATTCTAAAACTTTCTGAGTAATATCCTCAAGGAAGGAAACAAAACCCATCACACTTGTAAGACCACTTCCATCAACGTCCTGCTCTTCTATCAGATAGTTCTCAAAAATTGAGGCATCATCCTGCCCTCCACGAATAAAAATGAGTTTAGGAGTAATGCATCTCTCTTGCTTCAATTTGTTGATTGTGGTCCTTAATAAACCTGACACGGAAGGTATTTTGCATAAAATTTAAGCAGAACATATAAAAACTAATCCAGTGAGGACAGAAGGCAAAGAAAAAAGGCTTACAATCATGGGGTGGAGGAAAAGGTAGTGTAGGGTCTGCAGTCGAAGAATAAAACACAATCAGAATTGTGAAAGCATCAAGGAAAAATATCGGACTGCCACTGGTAATCAATGCTGCACGACTCAATGAATGGCGAGGATATGCTTGTTTATCCGGAGTAGCATATGATGTCAACACAGGATACACAGCACGATGAAGGGAACTGGGTTCTAACCCGCTACAAAACAAATGAAAATGAACTGCAAAATCAATTCTTGAATATATTAATTCAAAATTTCAAAGCAAGAAAAACAAAACTACAAACCATGTCGCCAAAGCTTTACACTTTTATTATGTAGTTACCCAACTATGTTCTAACATCCCAATTCCCACACCCTTATAAAGCATTAAAGATTCTCAGCTTTGCACAGTCAATTCTTATGAAAGGCTTCTAATTGTACTCATCTAAAGGTCTTAACCTAGACAAAAGAAACAGAATTTACACCGATATTTTATTGGGCTTGATACATTACAAACAGGGAAAATAATGCCAAATATAATTTTTATTTATACATCAAATATAAATATGCTTGCTTTCAATTTCATGATGAATATGATTTTGTTATACATTCGAAGTGAAATGCACTTTCTTGTAACAAAATGTCACCAAAATAACATATTTATCATACTATTGTTCCTATTAAATGCTACTACTTGTTCATTTAATGCTAACCTATGTGCACATGTAAACAAAATTCTTAAATATATTGCCAGTTATTTATGCAAGTATCTTGGACTCAAGTTCATTTAGCTTTATGTTAGCCTGTTTAATTTCTTCCAACAGACATGATTGCATGATTATGCAGACCATTGCACAAATAAACCTGCGAGCACCAATTACCTGAAAAGGCATTGAAGATAGATGCGAAAATCAGGGTGAACACCTTCTTCATGAAAGCGGAGAAGAGGATTTCGAAGGAGAGCAAAAATTAGGCGCCGTAGGGGCTGCAATTGAGGACATTGAGAAAATGCAACATCAATCTGAGATCTTATGGAACTTCCATCACTATACTGGATAAGTTTATATGCATCATTGTACTGAGCTGTGAGGATCACTAGCCATTCTTGAAGTAAAATTCTACCCTCCCGAACTCCTTCCTCCAAAGAGGCTAATATAACCTGCAGAATGCAATATAAGCAAATTAATCATAAAGTCCAAGAAGAGAGCAGACAACACAATCTATTTTTTTTTTTTTTAAAGAAGACAAGATTAAGTGTTTGTGTTAATTTATATTTGTAATGATAGTGGGCAGAATTTAGAAAAAGTGAAAACTGAAGAAGGTGGTATGCCATATACAAAATTAAGTTTGAAGGGTGAACCAGAATACGAACATCAAACTAAAGGGATGGAAATTAGTTTGATTTTATAATTCACCTTGTGAACAAGCAAAGATAGAACAACTTCAGGATCACAGCTATCATAAAGTTCATGAATGTTCTGAGCAACACCAAACTGCAAAGTTCGTATCCTTAGCCGACGTTGAAGGGAATGCTTGGTTCTGTATCAATAGTCAGTACAACAAACTGAGCCCCAAAAGCCTTCAATCCATCATTAATTAACTTTTAGATATTGAAAGAAAATAATAATTTATACATAATTATCAGGAAATCGAGGGACTCAGGATATAGCCAAACAAAAAACTAACAATGAAATACAATTGATATTCTGAAAAGCAGTTGTTACAGAACAAAACAAACCCATACCAACATTTGGAATGTAAAAAGTAACAAGTGTAAATATTAATTAATGCAATGTTGAGCATTTCAAATTGGCAAAAACAAATTTTTCAGAATATGAAACAATGACACTTTTTAACTTGAATGGCAATTTCCTTATGCACCAAGACAACCTCTCAAGATATCACATAATTGATAGTATCAAATGGAATTGATAAAAAGCTATAACTAAAGATACACTATAGTGC